AGTAGTGTGCTTACTGTTTTCTGTATGTCCCAGCTGTCATAAAAACCTCGATACTTACAGATTGTAGTGTACTTACTGTTTTCTGTCAGTCCCAGCTGTCATACACACCTCATTACTGACAGATTTTAATGTGTACTTACTGTTTTCTGTATGTCCCAGCTATGCCATTTCCCCCAATAACTGAAATAATCGTTATATCCCAGCAAATCGTTGTAATGGACAGGAGATTGTTCGTGGTGCTATCTACCGATATATGACTCCGTTGAAGGAAGTTTACAATTTTTTAAAATCTTCTTTGTTATGTGTTCAGTAGATTCCAATTGTCGAATAAATGTAATTAGACAAACGTGTAAACTATAATGCAGCACCGATGATCACCATGCATGTCATGACAATGGCTTTTATGATAAGAACATTTGCCAAGCACTCTGGTACTCGGTACATACATGTACACCTACTTCGTGTGTTTCGAACAGGTATATATATATAAGATTATCCGATTGTGGACATTTTGGAATATTTTATTCTGCTGGGGTAAAATCATATTTGTGGTAAACCACTTGAAAATGTCATTTATAAATCCTAACATTGTTTAATCCGGATAGCTTGATGACAAGTGGCCACAGATCAATGAGTGGTAATAAATCCACCATTGTTAAAGTTAATCACTGCTGGTCACGTTTAAATCACCTTTATTGAGCCCCCCATTCCAAATGAAATAAAACTAACCGCTCCAGTTAGCGACCTTACACAGACAAAGTCTTCGGGGTGGCAGTCAAATAAGGTAACTAGTATGGTTAAAGTCGGGTCTAATGGTACCGAATTTTAACGCATTAAACCGTTTAAAAAACCTCCTCGTTCAAGATTAAATAATTGTACCAATTGACACAACGACGGCATGTATTGTTATAGCTATATCTATGATGTGGTTCTTTGATACAACATTAATATTACTATGTATCAACACCACTCTACAAACATTTTAAACACTCCTGTACTTGTGTATATATACTACTGACTAGTACTAGTGAGTCCACACAGTCGTATGATGAAGTTTAGCTTTTCTACTTTCTAATTCTAGTTTTCGCCACTCTCTTGGTGCGAGTAGGAGAGGTGGGAGTAATGAAACCAGCTATGAAGAAGGAGTAGGGAAGTGGAACCTGAACTAGCCTTTACATTTGATATCTGACAAATAGAATTATTTGTTGCCATCTCATTAATCAATCTAATAGACATGCTCGTGTGTGATTCTGAATAAAACAAACTGGTATGTGTCTGACTAGACAGTACGTATCGATGACAAGGTAGAAGACATTGTATAAAACATGCATAAGTGAATAGCACCTGTTAAAACCTCGTTATTGAAATGAGAGAGAATAATTGTTATTACATTTAAATATTTCCAGGTAACAGAATATTGATGCTACAGATGGACGGACGACCTCTACAAACAACACATGAATAGTAATATGTGGTAGTTGACAGGATAATTTAGAAAGAGAAGTTATTGTGCTGTAGTTAGGTTTCGTAAGTACAAATATCTATTCAGATGGCCACAATAAGTGTACATATCAGTAATGGTGTCTACTACTGTAATTATGTACAATGTTAATAATAAAAAAAATCTTGTGCTGTGTGACGTTCTAGGATTGAATCTTAATAACGACTGGTTCATGTAAGAATGCATTTTGATAAAATTAAGTTCAGGTAAGAATGCATTTTGATAAAGTTTGGTTCAGGTAAGAATGCATTTTGATAAAGTTTGGTTCAGGTAAGAATACATTTTGATAAAGTTTGGTTCAGGTAAGAATACATTTTGATAAAGTTTGGTTCAGGTAAGAATGCATTTTGATAAAGTTTGGTTCAGGTAAGAATACATTTTGATAAAGTTTGGTTCAGGTAAGAATACATTTTGATAAAGTTTGGTTCGTCAGTTCCAGGTAAGAATGCCGATTAGTGAAGGTTGTTGTTTACCCGAACATCCTATGAAATGATCAGTGTCAGATTCTAAATTTTGTATATTTTTTGTGATTGTTTAGAGGTTGATTTAACATGGCTAACCTGCTAGGGTGAGTCTATTTTAACATCGATCGTGATGAATTGCAGATTGTCATACAAAATACGTACACTCTAGAAAGTCTAAGTGTGAGACTATGTCAATAAAGTACAAATACATGTCGGAGTTCCCTTACGTAAGGAGAGAAATATTAGACAAGTGTACAAAAGACATGACTGAATCGTTCAAGTCTCCTAATTTCAATTACAGATTTAAATTGATTCCTGGTATTTTCTCCTTTTGATCTAAACATGTTTTATCATCAGTAGCAGATAAATGGATCAGAAACAAGTTGTAGCAATTTATGAACTATTCTCCATAAATAAAATTACAAATAATTAATATACTGCACGTGACACATATTTATACTATAAACATGAAAATATGTAATTCGTAGACGTACAATTGTAAGTTTAAATAATTTTATCAAAAGGAGGAAAAAAGAGAAGATAGGATAGAAAAAATAGAAGAGAAAAAGAGATGATATAGATTTAGTATCAATTCAGTGCCGACTACAAATAGTTCAGAATTAGGTAGTGTTAAAACGGTTTGTTTTATAAGCTTTTGAACATATCTAAAAATATTGCAATCAGTTTCAAATGAGTAAACATCACTGTCGCCCCATAAGAAAGTTTCTATATTAAAATCTACGTCTAAATCATACAAATTATCAAACAATATCCGCCCACAATAAGGTAATAATGAACATGTATGGAAATAGTGTTTTGCGTCTACAATGCCATCACAACACGGAAATCAGGAACGTAAGCCTGTATGAGGAATATTTGGTTCTGAATACTTTAGTGATACACCCGGTTTAGTAGTATTGTCTAAATTATTCCACAAATTTAAAGACTACGGAATAAAAGACTTTTTTTTCATACTATACAGACGACTTCGGGGGACTTGATAGTTGTCTAGATTCCTTAACTCCATGTTTAAGTCACGCCTATTAGGTGGTATCATGTTTTGTAAGTATAGAGGGACCGTCTTTTTTTTTTATAGAATTTGTTGTAGAATGTAGTAAGCTTGGATTCCTCTCTTTTCTGTTTGAGCGGATTTCAACCTGTTTCAGTATATGAAGAGTCACGAGAAGCAATTGATGTGAGGCCAGAGATTCTAGCTGCTTCCAAGTGAACTTTTCCTAGGGAAGTCGGAAGTGTTCCGAACATCCATCCCAAACACACAAGGCATATGAGCTGGTGTTGACAGGTTCGTGTGCAGTCCCGACAAGCTGACTACAATTAAGGATACGATATAGAGTAAAATAATGTACGAAAACTATCTTAATTTCTTAATATCAGATAACTCAGCAATGTTTTTTTTTTTTAAATTTTACCTATGATCAAATATAATTACAGTTTTGTGCACTTTGTCGTTGGGTTTATCATCGGTATGTGATTAACGCCTATTAATACCAATTTAAAATTAAGTACAATAGAGGTTAACTGCATCATACGGCTGATCGTCCTTTTAGGACTCGTCAATGGTGCTACGAACCTAAACTTTGAAACCTAGAAGGCGACAGAGGAAAAAATAAAAATCGCTCGAAATAAATTAATGTTCATTTTAGGATTATTTCAGAAGAGCGTGAAGCACATATGTATAATCTGAATCATGATATTATTTGAAATCATTGACTCCGGGGACTGTAGTGAAACTTATTTTATATTTCTTTTCAAACATTTTATTTGTATGAATATCAAAACGAGTAGACAAAAGCTTGAAGACCTATATAAGACTTCTACCAAACCAAGTGAACAGGATGCATTTATTTTTTTTAAAAATTATAATCACAAAATATCACACAGTATATCCAAAGTTTTTATATTTAACTAGTCATTTCATAGTATACAAATTTGGTGTATGAACGACAACTTCATTTCAAAGTTAACTTTGTTACAATTTTTGTTTAATTTTTAATGTATGTGAATGCATATTTGTTGTGTTAGCTCCCCATACACAAGAGGTTCCGAGTCCGAAATCCTAATCATCTCCCTACACTATAGAATTTAAACCTTTACGATGTCAATTTGCGTGATGGCCTAACAAAGACAGATAACTTTTGCTACTTGTGTGGGCACCCAAATATATCTATGTAGTTAGTCACTCGGTGCCGTGAGGATAGCAACGCTCCGGCATTCCCAAACGCCGCTACGGCGTACCCGGCGACAACCCGTGCACCCGCCGACGTCAGCCCTCTATCGTTCCGGTCCACTGGTCCCCTCACGTCACCGAGTGCTTACCTGTCATTGCCCTCACCTGAATATTCTTCACTATTTTTGCAGTAATGTATAAGAGAACTTTTCATGGTTTACCGTTTAATATAAAATATGTTTCACGAGTATGACAGAATATCTATATTTTTCAAGAGAGCTACTGTTTGACTTCTGCTTCTCTGCTGAGACTACGTGTGTAATGTTTGCATATCTATCAAACCTTATACATACATTTTGTGTAAAAATATACCTATGTCTGTAAAATGTAAATCCCGTACCCTCATCGAATGACAAATAATATTCACAGGCATATGTATTCAAAAGCCTTGACACACTTTGTGTGTGCAAATAGTAATGAGATAGAGAGGCGGACAGACGGACGTAGCCACAAACACAGTCACAAAGAGACAGCAACACAGACAGACAAACACAGATATAGACACAGTTAGAGGCCCCTAATTAATGTCGAAAGTTTTCTAAATAAAACACATTACTCTACGTAAAAATATTAACGTGTATTGATCTATAGAACAAGATCAACACTACAGATAAGTGAATATATATTTCGCTTATGTATAATATATCACACAAAGATATGCTTTCCTTTGTTCTGTTATGATTGCGACACTGCTGGCCATGGTAGACTTAACACATGCGACAATCACATCCTGAAATACGGACTTGGTACTGCACGGATTCTCGTCGTCCGGTTAAACCTAAGCGTCATGGCTACAAAGGAGACGTTTGATGAACATTACCTACAAGAACATGGTGACATGATCGGCTTCTCTGTGGGTGCCCCAGGACCTTCTACCATGAAGGGGTGTCGAGAAATTGTGATCCAATCTACAAACTTGGCAATGGTAATTTTGTTTTAATGACAATCATTCTAAATCATATATATATATTCATGATACCAAGTCATGTTGTGTTTTGGAGTGAACAGTAATTAAGACGTTAAGATGTTTACTACGTTCTACTCTTATTCAATACTCTAACATTGTATAAAAGTTATGTGGTTAATGCATCTCCCCACAAAGTTTCTTATCTTAATTCGTCCAAATTTGACCTTCCTCAGCCGTCCCATTTTTTAATAATTTAGATTCTCATCTTCAGTAATGAGTTCAAGAAGAAGGATGGAGCATAGATATAACGCAGATTATTTCATTATTAGGACATACACTTAACTGTCTTTCTCGTACTGAAAGCTGCATTCTTCTCGCGTGCGTTGAAAAAAAAAACACCTTATTTTCTTCCCTTCGTTCACCTCGATGAAGAACATTTAGCATTATATGAGACTAGTAATGTTTCCTTTTTATGCATTCATGGCATTTACCTATTTGCTATGTTTGAGAGTTCGTGACCAGTAATGATGTCGCATGTGTTGCCTAATGTAACAAGACACCGTATATATAATAATGTACCTATCTCAAGATCTCATATATACACGGACTGCAACAAGACACGTTTTTTAACACCAATGCAGCTCTTTTTTCCTGAATATTACATCATTTTCAAACACTTAAAAGCTGTCTCTCAAAAATGCTTCGTTTTCGGCACATGTGTACATAAATTACTAGTTATAATATTACCTCAGGATGTTTGAGATGTTGACATGGCAGTACAATGTTATATTTAACTAGGTTATCTATATGAAAAAATAAACTCAAGACAAATGTTACACTACCTATTTCAGGTATGCTGCAGTCATGAGTACTGATAAAAGAGAACATTCTTTAACACGGCGAATTCAGATTGTTTCTCTTGTAGCATATTTCCAAAATATTTAAACTTTCATGATTCGTTTTATGACTACCTTACAGATTTTTTAAAAAAAAATGTCAGAACTGTTTGGGAGGTAAGGTTTCCTCTTTGAAATGCAATGCATGTGCATAAACAGTTAAAACTTTTCAGCTTCATTTTCAAATTATATAATTATATAAATGAATTAATACTATAACAACATTATTAGCAAGATATTGTAAAATACCATCGATGATTTAATTTATAATCATAGATTTTATATCACAGACCGATAACATATATTACAGAGAGACCCAAAACGTGAACATCTGATTTTTCAATATGGACCACAACAGGGAGATCCTGATTTTCGAAGAGAACTTGCAGCGTTCTTATCCAAGGAATACGATGACCATGTTGAAAGGTAAGTATGCATCAAGATATTCCGAAGACGACAATCTCGTTCGATCCTCTGTAATGTCTGAATATTGTTTCTTATTTGCTTATGGTGTCTTCCCGCGTGGTTTCTCATTTGCTCTCCTTGTCATATTTCCCTTTTTACGGGGTCCAGTCTGCACTTCTCGTATTCCTGTTTGTTTCGTCTTGGGTTCCGTTGTTGTATTACCATTTGTACCGGCGTTCTGTCCGCTCTTCACTTATTCCTATGTTCTTACTTTTGTTCCGGCGTCGTTTTTGGCATCTCGTATTCCTATCTAATTTTCCTTGGACCTCGTAACCATGTTGTCCTGTAAACGTCCTGTTAGCTCTTGTCGTATTATCTTTGTTCCTTCTGTCCCGACATCCTGTCTGCTCTTGTCGTATTATCTTTGTTCCTTCTGTCCCGACGTCTTGTTTACTCTTGTCGTATTACTGCTGTTTGTTATTCCTGTTCCGACGTCCGACGTCCTGTCTGCTCTTGTCGTATTATCTTTGTTCCTTCTGTCCCGACATCCTGTCTGCTGTTGTCGTATTCTGTCTCTGTTGTCGTCTTTGTTCCTTCTGTATTATTATCTTTGTTCCTTCTGTTCCTGTCTGCTCTTGTCGTATTATCTTTGTTCCTTCTGTCCCGACGTCCTGTCTGCTGTTGTCGTATTATCTTTGTTCCTTCTGTCCCGACATCCTGTCTGCTCTTGTCGTATTATCTTTGTTCCTTCTGTCCCGACATCCTGTCTGCTCTTGTCGTATTATCTTTGTTCCTTCTGTCCCGACGTCCTGTCTGCTGTTGTCGTATTATCTTTGTTCCTTCTGTCCCGACATCCTGTCTGCTCTTGTCGTATTATCTTTGTTCCTTCTGTCCCGACATCCTGTCTGCTCTTGTCGTATTATCTTTGTTCCTTCTGTCCCGACATCCTGTCTGCTCTTGTCGCATTGTCTTTGTTCCTTCTGTCCCGACATCCTGTCTCCTCTTGTCGTATTATCTTTGTTCCTTCTGTCCCGACATCCTGTCTGCTCTTGTCGCATTGTCTTTGTTTCTTCTGTTCCGACGTCTTGTTTACTCTTGTCGTATTACTGCTGTTTGTTATTCCTGTTCCGACGTCAGACGTCCTGTCTGCTCTTGACGTATTACTATTTGTTTCATCTTTTCAAGTGTCCTGTACATGCTATTCAAATCGTAATAAACCGAAATTGGCTTTGAACGCCGAAATAAAGATGTATATCACAATAGTTGAGTACATACGACACTGTCATTTTCATCGATCCGATAATAAGGTCTTTTTTCGATCTGCATTATCAATCAGTATACGATGACATGAATGCGTAACATATATGCTTTTGATGTCCAGCCGAAACTCGTTATCTCGAAATTCAAGGGACCGTGGAAAATGTTTTGACTTATCCGAATTTCGACTCAAACGAAGTGTATAAAGTTGACGATATCAGTTTCTGACGTTGATTACGGTGGAACAAAATAAGGCTACGATAACGCGCAAAACAGCACAGTTTCATCTATTGTTTGAAAAATTATTTTCTTAATGACATTTTGACTTTACTTCACGTTTTTCCTTTGGTTTAATGTTCCGCCATTGAGGAAACCTTTTCTGTTCCCTGATCATTTTTGAGTCTTTAAACAGTGAAAAAATAATAATGTAACAGCTTGTTTGTTATTAATCATAAATTTGTACATGTACTAATCTATAATTTACATCTAAGTTGTATAATAAAGAAGCAATATCCAAATGTATGTGTTCTGTGATGTTCCTTCTCGTGAAACTATGCGTCATTAGAATAATTTGTAATTCAGGACATAATAAGTTCCAGCTTTTTGTTGCTTCAACAACACAAGTGTCCTTTCTCTAAGGAAGTGAACGTTTCCGCTGCATGAATTGTTTATGTTAATGGTTGAGAAAGTAAAGTCTGAGCAAAAATATCGTTCACAATGTAACATAATGTAAAATATGATTGTTATTTATATAAATCATCACAGAGTTTGAGTGATGTACACTGATTCAGTTTGTGGTTACTAAAGCCTCACGTTATACTGAAGACATCAATAAAGGTAGTCGTATTATATTATTTACAATTCAGATATGAATATTTCATCAAGTAATTGTTTAAGTTACAATTAATATGGAAATGATGTCACAAAATTACTACTTGATTTATGTGTTCTAGAATCAGATGGTATTTTCTTCTTTGTCACAAAGCGACAACCTAATGGTGACCGCTGGAGCCACCCATGGCCTCCATGTCGTCGCTAGTACACTCTTCGGAGAGGGCATGCCTGTCTTTGTGGAAGATCCAACATTTTTCTTAGCCTTTAAAATTTTGGGGAGCGATCTTGGCAAAACGATCATACCAGGTAATTTTTATGTACATACTATTATTATGAAATAATTGTAAACATGTCATCAGCGGTTTAATATTGCAGGTTCTAGGATGAAGTGATACTTAACACTTGTCCCTCTCTTAGCGAAACTCGATAACATTAAAGGGTCTCTATTTGAAAATAGAAAACATTAATTTTTCATTAATATGTTAACGTATCTCTGTATGATTGAAATAAATCAATTATCTTATACCATCGTTTACATTATAATTCTAACATTCTAATGCTTTTAGTAAAATATATTAATCTAAGATACGTTCTGATGGTTGTGTTTGGCTTATATTGATACTTTACCTGTGTATGTATCTGGTAGATGTTTTGTCTTAGAAAAATACTATGTGGTATTTGTTGTATCATCATTGTTATTTAGTATGTTAAATCTCACAGAATATCAACTAGAATCCTTTATGATAAAATACAATTTTATTATCAATGTTATTAGGATAGTGAAGTCTTCCAAAATATCAGCTAGATTCCATTGAAAAATAGTATATTGCGCAACATGTAGGGCAGGTGTATTTTTATAATCAATACCTGTGTAGCTATCACAACTTTCGTTTCATGCATTTGTCTTTCATGTGAGACTAAGAATGCATGTACTAAATAAAGACTGACGAGAAATCCTGCCCAAATCGCGTATCCTGGTGTCGTGATTAGGTGACGCAATTCTGTGTGCTTTGAACCAAATTTAAAGCAGTTATTGTTCGGGTAAATATGCGATTACATAAATACACACGGTCTGATAAGCTTTTCACAAGATATCTAGTTTCAAATTAAATCTTCATAATCGTCAATATGTCCACTAGATTACACATGCATATTCATGGAATTTATATCCACCGCTTTCCTAACTAGATGTTTTATTGGACAAATCAAATATCAACCAATAAAGTGAACTAAATGAAGAAAACTTGTATACCAGTGAACGAAAGTGTGACAAAAATATTGTTTTTCCTTTCTAAATATATGGATCATAAGTCTGGTGCTAATGGTTTAATGATAAACTGATAATATTTGTAGGACTTCAAGTTACATCAAAATTAGATTATATTTAGAAAAAAATATCAAAATAAAAAATCAATGAAATGAAAGAATACCTAATTAATGCTGATTGCTGAACTCAGTCTTATGTTCCCTAATATGCATCTGCTGACCAAGTTTCATCTAAATCGGATTAAATTTAGGGAAGTTAGAGCACGGGAATGAACCGACCAATGAAATCAAACGATACCTCATTAGTATGCATAATTATTAACAAATGACACTGACCGTCAAACTCGGTCTTAATGACCCCAAGATGCATCTGCTGACCAAGTTTCATCCAAATTGAATGATATTTGGGGAAGTTAGAACTCGGAAGCGAAAGTGTAACAGACAGACGGACGGACGGACGGACGGACGAACCCAAATCAATATCAATATAAAAATTAGGATCTAATGTGAAAAAATGTTGTATTAATGAGAACATTTTTGACGTCAACTTTTCAATGCCGGTATATCATTCACGGGCCGTGCTGGGATACATATAACAAATCACCATAAAAGGATTTATGATTGTCTACAGGATCTATTGTCTGAAAAAAGCTACCCGTATATCGTAGAAATAGACAAAAACGTGATACATTTGGGTAAGATAACCTCACTAACCAGTCTGAATCGACTTAGTACGTTGATGCACAACATTCACGAGTGGAAGGCAATTAAACTATTACAAAAAAAATAAACAAAGATTTGCCATCAAACGCAACTTAGACATTTCACATCGGTATACATTGTTTCATTATTTTCATCATATTAATTTTCCTGCATACCCGCGTCTTTATGGAGGCACAGTTAGTGGTATTTTAGCATTTCAAATAGCCTTACAAAGTTCCTTCAAGTTACTCTGTATCTTGTGTTTCGATGCCCGTTATCATGTCATTTAATTCCGTTGTTGTCAGTTTGTTCTTCATCTACTTGTAACTAGGGTCCATCTGAGACCATAGTAGCTTATGATTAAAGCATCATTCAAAATGTTCAGCTACGAGAGCTTTTCATGAAGGGTGCTAAATATCGTAAAATCCCGTCCGCTAATGGAATATGAATTTCAAGATATTTTCTTTGAAAACTATGCCAGAGAATGGGTGCCACGAGAATATTCTGTGTTTGATTCACTTACTGAATGTATTAAATCCATTCGGTCCATCATTCTGAAAAGAATTAGCAGTTTGAAATCTAAAATGAAAACAAAGCACAGGTCAGTGTTCTTCAATCCTGCTGTTAAATTCGCCTTCCAGTATTTACACAACCTTATGCCATTGTACCTGCAGATGAAGTGTCTAATAACTTTATCCTTGTTTGCAGAAATTATTACAAATTTGTTTCATGCTTTTATTTGAGAGCGTGACATTACTTAACATGGATTCTTAGATTGACAAAATGTATCGTCGATGAAGCTGGATACGCTTGATTTTCCGGAAGACCTGGTCTTATTGTCCTTGTACTTTTTCATGAGCCTCTGTGCATTTTATTCATTTATTTTTATTTATTTTTTTTTTTTGCCTATTTTGCCCTAGTATCAACACATGCTGATATTTCTTGTTTTTATTAAAATAAGATTGCTGGTATTGAACAGAACATTATTGTTTAACGAAGATAAAGATTACTACAGTACTTCTTTTATTACATTTCTCTGGTAAAGTACCAACTGGCGAGAATGGTGTGGACTTGAATCGACTTGAGAAATTATTTGAAGAAAACCGCAAAAAAGCTGGCGACAAGTCAACATGGAAGAGTCCGTTCTGGACTATGTTATACACAATGACAGTGTACAGCAACCCTAAAGGAATTTGTTCCTCGTCAGGTAAGAACATTGCCTCAACAGCATTCAAAGACAGAACATATCAGTTGGAAAAAATAGTTTATTACATTTTTGCCAGTGAAATGTAGAGATATATCTCATTGATAAAAGTGTCATTTTTCACTTACACCAATGAAAAGATAATATATAAACCATCTTCTAAAATTCACATTTCATAAAGCCCGGTACCAAAAAAACATAAAACCAGAAACTTGAAGTTGTTTACTAGTAACTCGACCTGTAATTCCATGAAAGCCAGCAAGCAATGCAACGCAAATTACTTTCTCAGAGATCAAACCCAATGCCCAACTGAACGTCTCGAATGTGGAGCGAATACATTAGACATGTCGAGAGAATCCGTGTCTTCAACAGCAACAGCTGTAGGTTGCCGCCATATTTTCAGTTGCGTATTAACTTGTCACGGGTTAAACCCTCTCTGACAGTAATTTTGTCTGTTGGTGACATCAAAAAAAGTAACATTTTCAATGCGAATATGAAAAAATAAATTTACATTGAAAATTATTTTTTGTTTACATATGTTAATGGCTTAATTCAAAAGGAAATCGACACCGAAAATCAGCCATCGCCAAACATTCTTCACTTCTTTCTTTTCAACGATTTCTTCATTCATTTGAAAATTTGTCGTCAGTTCGTTTACTCATTTATGATAATGATATGCTGAAGGGATAATTGTGTAGATCTGGTAGATCTAATAAGAAATATGGCGTGTGTGTCACTTTTTTGTACATTTCTGCACATAGCAGGAATCTGGTAGAACTAGCTAGGAATTATGACGTTTGTATCACTTTATTTAATATTTCAGAACATTGCAGGAATCTGGTAGAACTAGCCAGGAAATATGACGTGCTTGTATTTGCGGAAGATGTTTACAACATGTTCCATTTCGGTGAAGGTAAAGCACCTCCCCGCTTGCTCACTTATGACAAAAGGTAACATTACAAATTATCGGTGATATCCATGTCATAATCGTTAAGAAAACATGAAATGATATTGTCAACCTAAAAAACCGACTCGATAGCATTTCACACCTCATTTAATATTCAGATCTTGTCATGCCGGTTTTTCGTCTCACAAGAAGGAGGGTTTAGCAAAATGTATGTAGTCCTTTCGCTCAAAGCCCAAACAAGAATTAATTTGCTTAAATTGCCGTTCTTTCGTAACATCATCTTTTTGTCCTTCCATTGGAGGCGAAAGAACGAAAAGGTGAAATTTAGAAAAACCGGTATGTTAGTTTGAATGTCGCCCGTTTGTCTAGAAAGGTCGAGACTTAACAGGTGTTCATAGACGAAAAAAGGACGAAAAGATAAATGGCACAAATAAGATATGATTACAAATTTATATTAATTTAATGTCAGTAAGTAAACAGTCATATCCTAATAAGATATCACACACATTTCTATGCTTAATTGATTCATCCAATAGGAAATAAAACAGTCTAGCATTTGTAATATAGCTTTACTTATCATTAATTGTAATATGTAATACATTATTACGTTAAATCTAATATACATCTATGTAACACACGCTCGACATCACCAGTCACACATATCATATTGACAATTCTATCAAAACGTTCGCGGTTGACAACATATTATATGTATATGATCAAGTTAAATTCATTGAAACGATTTATTGCAAGTTTTATTCATTTTGCACTAATTCTGACTCATGCAAAACCGGTCTGATTGCAGGAATTAGTCAATCAGTTTAACTAGCATATTCTGAAGCCAACATTTCTTCTTAGTTATAATGCATTATCATTGTTTACACAAGTATTGTTAGAACTAAGAATCAAAGTTCCGTGTGCGATTTATTTGAAACATTGTTCTTTAATTGTATTAGATGCCAAAACAAAGATTAAATTAAACAATCAGAGCAAATGAAAAAGGGGTGTTGAGGTGGGGTGGGGGATAGGGGTGGGTGGTTCGGGTGTGGAATTGTTCCGCCGTTTTATCACTTACAACTAAAATGTGCAGCTATTATTAATTTATTTTCCAGTGACAACCCTGATTATATAGGTTGTGTTCTTTCTAATGGAACATTCTCTAAGATTTTCGCTCCTGGAATCCGACTTGGCTGGGTAGAGGGTAACAAATCACTTGTAGATATACTGGCGTCCAGGTAGGTTAACTGTGACCATACTTCACATTTTATCATACTATATAACAAATATGATCTCGTATCATCAACAGATCAAGTATCACATCTCATAAAAGTTTAATGAACGCCACCATTATATCAACGGAAATATATAATTCTGGTGTGCGACATGAAGTTAAATGTGTCAGATGTTCATATCCAAATGGTTTTCTTGCTGTTAACATTGTTCTCATTTGAGAACGTGACATGATTTAGCGGATGACATCTATAAGTAGAAGACTCTCGCCTTTGCTGGCTTTCTTTTTCTTTATGAGTATCTGTTGATATCTTTGTTTTGTTCCTTATTTACCGACGTCGATGTTTCCTTGTTTCTTTAATAATACATGTATTTTCAGTTTGATTTTAGGAACAACAGTAATACCAATACAGTTTCCTTTTCTTGTATTACATACTTATGACGTCTATTTGACAGCTATATGTCAAACACGGCCGGCAGCTATAACCACTATACGTCTGTTGTGATGGGTGCAGCTATACAGCTAGGTCTCCTGTCGGCACACCTGGACCGCATCTCTAGTATATACAAGGTATCATGTAGATTAATGAAGATGTGGTTATAAAAATATAGCTATATCAAAATAACCCCATTAGAGACGTATGTACATTGCAATACACGTTTCTTGGAATACTTACCCATTTGCCACACAAGGTTTAAACATATAAAATCACTTTGTCGTTTTATTTGTTTCAGACTAGGATGGGGCTTATGTGCGATGCCCTAAACAAGTATCTCCCATCCGGCTGTACTTTTCATCGTCCACAGGTGTGTATATCTAACAAGCGTCGCAAAAATACTTAAAATATATGTGTATATATACCAACTATTTATTTCTCTAAGAATCTCTCTCTTCTGTTTTTTTTTTTTTTGAGGGGGTATGGCCATTTTCTAATATCTAATACTCCCCATAGCCACAAATTAGTAGGGCTTAAAAGAAGAAATTTAGCACCTGTCTATCCACAACGAGAACACAATGTCGGATATATTTGTATCAAGATAAGCAAATTAGACTGGATTCTTTATCTTTTATGGAACTCTCTGTTCCAGTCGTTACTAGGTGAGTAAATAGAATTTTTCAATTCCTTTCCAATAAACAACATATTAATTTGTACAAAAAGACACATTATACGATACGATAACGGCCATGTGATCCAATTAAAAAATGGATAATCATAATGTAATAATGCACCTGCATACTGTTTTATAGCAAATAGCACATTTTAAAATTTTGACAAAGCAGATGATATCATTCGGTTTCAGTAATGACCGACTGAAAGCAAAGTGGGGTCTTGTATTTGACATACGCTCACATGCAGTATACAAAGTTTGTAACACTGGTTCAAGATCAAGAATTAGAACGTGAGCGAAAAAGAGACATTGTCATGTTATTACTTTTCAAAAGGCTGTAATTAAATAATGATCTACATTGCAGGGTGGATTCTTCGTGTGGGTAGTCATGCCCAAGACTATTGATGCCCAAGCATTACAGAAGATAGCTATCGAAAAATTCCGTGTCGTCTTTATAGACGGAGAAAGGTAAGTGACTTTAACTATGTACAGTCTGTCATATCCCCGACTAATAATACAAGTTAATGTATAATCGAGTGCACGTGTTTGCACATGACGTTAAAATTGACATTTTAACCGTCACATCAAGATGTGATAAAGAAATAAGTACATTGTTAATTGGTACGTCTGCATGCATCCTAACACCAACATGGATTTTTTTCAGGACGTGTTGAATTTTTTTGGTAGAGATGCAAATTCATGATATTTCTTGTCTGCTGCAATAATGATCATCATCTTATGAGACCTCGTACTCGTGTTAGGATAAACACATTGAATGAAAGACCTGCCGTCTTGAGTATGTAATGATTGATCTCCCTCCACAAAGAAGAACCCTAACCAAAACTTCAGACCACCAATTTATTATGGTGGCTGATAAGGGCTGATTTTGTTTCTCCGCTTCGTCGCCGTAAAACCGTGTTTCTACAACTTTCAGAGCAAAATTAAAGTAAAACGGAACATTCCGTTTAGTATTCGTGAAAAAATACAATTTATCGGCATTTAGTCACCCCGGAAGAAAGTTGTATTTTTCCCCTAAGTGGCGCTTTGTTGCCCTGAAAAAGCGAGTGTTTTTTTCACGTTTTCGTGGCAAAACCTTCTAGAAAAATTGCGCTTCGTGTAAGCGTTTAACTCATACCCAGATATGTTATCTTCCTTCCATTATGTCAAATACTGCTTTGTAGGACTAAATATATTTGTCCACTGCGTGCTGGTGTCTTACTCTATTATCGTAAAGAATACTGTTTGATTATATTTCAGTACCTCCGTGACGGGTAGCTATAGGAACTGTATCCGCTTATCAATAAGTTTCAGCGATACAAACCAGATCGAGGAAGGGGTTCAACGACTCGTCAAATCCATGCAGGCCTACATGGACTCGTCGGAGCATCAAGCTGTACAATAATATGGAGATGTATCCGTTAAATTGTCCTTGTCATTACCAGCCGTGTCTCTTGATTATGAAGCTGACACCTGGTGTTAGTATAATGATATTGTTTTACGACGCTTTAATTTTGTTTTTGCAATGCTGATAAGAAGCTTATGTAGGCAGACCAGAAAGTGTACAACGCCGTGCTAGGAAATATTTACTGGGTAGGAAGGGCCTATAGTAACCAGAAAGATTAAGGAAATTGTAACCTACCAATATTAACATAGACGTCATGGGTAAATGGCCGAAATGTACCAGATTTTTAACATATTGTTTTTAATACAGAAACATGAACTTTTGTGAAGCATCGGCATAAGGAGTGCGTGAGAAATAGCACAAGAGGACACTATATTTCCATATCAGTCTACGACATCCTTGGGGAGAGATTATTTCACATTTATACATATTACACAATTAAAACAAAAAACATTCATCCGAATGACGTTTGTATCCGCTCCAAATATAAATACCATTAATAACAGAATAGATCAACTTTGGCAACATGAGGAACTTTACCCAAATTACTGGTAGAATTTAAGGAACAATTATTCTATACAATTATTAAATTTGACTTCAGTGTAGGGTAACTCTATTTTTTTTTCTCCTGTATAGATGATTGACTATTAAGATGGATTTTATTGTTATAGAAGATACCCTGCAACGAACATCGAAATAAGAATACCGCAAGTGGACCTAGTGCCGGTTTTAATCTGAATAGAAGCTACACAGTCAGTGACAACCTTCGTTAAAGGGAAAAGTAAACCAATGTTTAGAAATGAATTTAATTTTGTTTGTAATTCCCTCACAAAGAAATGCACAACTATGTAAGTTTGTCACTGGTTATAACACTGCCACGTACCATTCATATAAATTTGGATGTTGTTTACTGAGCAAACGTCACACGGCAATTGAAATTACTCGGTTAAACAATGTATTCGTGGGATACATTTGTATTTAACCTGTAAAGGCTCGAGCACAAAACATCATGCACCCACAAGATCCGTGTACATTAAAGTACCATAAATATCTCGGAGTCTTTACAAGATGGGTTCTGTAGTCCGTCGTATCACTTAGACGTAGTATGAGTGAAGATATTACATAGCAATGACCCAGGAAATACTGTCTTTATGTAATAATCCAACCGACCTGTAGTGTTTCGTGGAACATTCCCATAGATCAAATCCAATAACCGTGTTGAAAGTGAACAAGTCAACGACTACACGACTTTGTCAGGTGCCCTATTGTTTGTTGCCAATGTGTTTCGCTCCTTGAACAGTTACATATAATGTTGTTTTGAGGCAAGATTTCCTTGAAATAATTGAAGGCTACTTCACTGAACATCATGCAGGAATCTGGTCTCATGATATCCAGAGTAAGTGAAGTAAAATGTTTTGACTACTTCATTTGCCATTTACATATAGAGCTACAGTAAATACGATTTTTTTATGTTAATGAAGATGTGTGCAACTTAATGGTTTTGTCAATATTAATAAGTCCAGAAAAAGACTCCGTGGAAAATTGATTTTAGAAGATTCTATCTGAAAAAAAACTGGGATGAATTTATATTCAAATTCTCATGCTAAGCACTTCATCCGTCAACCGTTAGAACGTAGAATGACAACTGGAGGGAAACGTGAGCATGCCCATGGCAGTTTCTGGAATTTAATAGACAATGACGTATCCAAAAGCATGATATACCAAACATGCACATTGAACATCTGCACATCAGGAGATTTGATCACAACGTACTGCCAGGAAATCCTACCAAACAAAACTGAACAAATCTACAATATATACATATTTTCTATTTCTGCTCTTAAACAGATCACCGACCGGAATCTTATTTTCCATCCGGTGCGAAAGGCTTTGCGTAATACTTTCCCCAGTGTTCATTTGAAATTGTGTTTTTTCACAATACACAATGCTTTGGATAAAGACTCAGTCTTATAAACAGAAATTTGATATAAAAAAAATCAAAATGTGTTGCATTTTTTGTAGAATATGATTGTAATGATATAAGTATGGATGTATAATTTACCTGTATTCACCTGTACTCAACCAGACCACGTTTCTATAACATGCTGCGATAGTCTGTACTTACCCAACTAGAAATGTGATCATTACCGTAATTTTGAAAGGTTGGCCACGGAGCGACACTGTCTATTCGTCCCTGGATTTGCTTGCGTGACCAACGACATTCAGCCGGGCCATACTAATCTCTTAAAAACGAGTTTTTCGTGTGATATTACCAAATCAAATTACCAAAGTCCAATTTCAAATTGGGTCTTCTTGGCCACTCTTTACTATCATATTATTGTAACTTTCAGAGTTTCATTTCGTATACAATATGATGTATTCACTAGTATATACTTCTAGTATTTATCAACATTAACATCATCTACATCACTTTCAATTAAAATGATGGGGTGGCATTTTATTTATATTACTTAGTAAACAAAGTAGTTCGATTTTAAAAATTCAAATGTATTCATTTATACAACATCTGTACACATAAAAAGGTATATTTATATCTTGATGGCATTACTTAAATGTAGATATAATATTCACGGTCATCACACTAAAATATATCTAAAATATCTTATCTTCAGCAGTCACAATAAGGTAATAAAACATGTATAGTGTATGTATGTTTTACAACATGAAGACAGATCTCTTTCATCAGAGATCTACATACAGCTATATAGGTCCCTGGTTTCCTGAAAAAATATGATGGTCATCAAAAGGAACAATAATTACACAAACACCATGGCATAGGAATAACAATATGTCACACCAAGGCAATATGCCATCAGTTAATTACAAATTTTAAAATCTTTTTTGGGTCTTACGATATACAAAGGAAAGTTGATATATTCTAACTGGTGAAGAATTATCAGGAAAGTAAATGATACTTTCTGAACGTAATATACTACAACCGGTGAATATTTTAATTAATAGCTCCTAGATGCTGTGGTGAAAGGACTCTCAAACAGCTGACCCACAGCCTTCTGACCACTGGACCAACAATGTTTAGCCTTGACTTTATACTATACCTTTATGAAATGAAATATGATTTGTCTGAAAATTTGTTTATAAATAAGGTAGCAGGAAACAGTTAATTTGCATTTTTCCTGAAATTATTTTTCATGTTTGAGATATACAGGTATAGCAGAATGGTTATGAAAAATACATCATTACACGTATATATATTCATAAACTACATAACAATTACATTAACAGCAGAAAGATGAAATTTGTGTAAAAAAAAAAAATCCTCTGATTTCTGACATTTGATTATCATGGTTACCTACTGAAAAAATGCTAAAAATGCAAAAATACTGCTAATTCCAACCTAACACTACAACTTTCTAGAAGAAATTTAATTCTAAACACCTATCTTACAATCAACAACACTGTCATGGTAACAAAGTACTTACATTTCAGCAAATTCCAACTCAGAAATTCTTCATAACATGACCACATGTAAACACTATGAAAATTTCACTTCCTGTAAAGCTAGTTTTTGGTGTGTAGAAACAGATTCGAGACTGCCCAAATAGTAATCTCCAACACAAAGCTAAAATATTATCCTGAAAAAAATGAAACCCCACATTGTCCACTTGAACATGACAGGACCAATTTCAGCAAGGATTTTTTTTTTCATTTTTAATTTAAACCTTCATAATGGGGTAATCTAATGAGCAAAAAAATCACCCATGGCCACACCGAGAAACTGTGTACTGTTACATAAACATGGTATATTTTGATAGCAGGAAACAATTAATATGAGTTTTGGACACTTTGGAAATCTCACACCCATGGCATACAGAAATCCCACAAAATTTCAAAGTCAGCAACTGACATCTTTGCAGTAAAAAATGAACAGTGACATGACATCAGAGATCCTTAAATATCACAATTACCTATGTTACTGCCCTACCCTCCTTGGACTGTGATTACCAAAAACTGTACCAGCATCCAATCTTGTTCAAGAGATACTATTTTCACAACTTTAACTATGCAAATATCAATCTTTTACAATACTGACCTGATTATGTTCAAGTTATAAGAAATAATTAAACATTACGGAGTAAAAATTCTCAAAACAGATCATTATCAAAAATTCAAAAACACTTTCCTCCTTAGTTACCATGGATACCAGTCATTAAAGTACTTGAATTGCCCTGAAATCCAGTCTAAACACATTATGAGAGTGAGCTATTCTTTTTATCTCTTGCATAACATAGAACAGTTTTCCAACAGCACAATCCTCAACCATAAGAATATTTGAATTATCTCCCTTTATGCATTTCTTATGAAAGTTAAATAAAATCATTATGAACAAATTACAGTTCCTTTTTTCATGTGTTTATGATAATCTTGAATGAGATTAAACTTCAGTAAGCATATTTTACACAAATTTTTTTTTAATGTATAATAAGGGAACATGACACAGTTTATTTCAGATTTTTCTTGAAATTGTAGTACATGTTTTTGATATACATGTACAAGTATAACAGCTTGTCAGCTATGACTGATAAAAAAACACATGTATATATATATATATATATATTTAGAAACTACATCAATATTGCAGTTGCATTTTAGAGAAAAAAATTGTATAAACAAAGTTTCCCTGAATTCTGATTTGTGAGAACAATGGTTACCAACTTAAAAAAAAAAAAAGCAAAAAATGCTAAAATATCACTAATTTCAACCCGCAACTACATCTCCAAGGTTATTTTAAGGCTCAACAACATCAAGACATGTAGACACTTATCTCACTTCCAGTCTTTTAATGTGTAGACACAGATTTGAGACTGACCAGATAGTCAGATCCAACACAATGCAAAATATTACTAAAAAAAAAACATGAAGTCCTACATTGTCCATTTCAACACGATTTTTTTAATTCTAGTAAGGATTATTATTTTTTTAATTTTGATAAAACCTTTGATAACGGGGTAATTTAATGAACAAAATATCCTGCATGGCCACACCGAGAAACTGTGTACTGCTTTTACATTTATAAAGAGCCACACATTTGTGTGTACATGAGACAAACATCAATTAATTCAGATTTTCACAATAAAATTAGTTTCAGAATTCAGTATTTGGATTTGGAATCCTTGCTTGTTTGTTTACTGGATTCATCACCCTATGAACTGCCATTGCCGTTTTGAGATGGGGGTTTCCTTGTAATATATGTAGCTTGCTACTTCACTGAGCGACAAACAGGAGGCCCAAGTACAAAAGGGGTAAAGTGCATTGCTCACAGACACAATCACCTCAGTACAGACAGAACTACTTCTCATCTTTCACAGAAACATAAACCAGAATGGTTAGGGAGGGTAAAACCACTCAACTCTGATCTTCACCGGTATTACATCTGCCAATGCTCTAACCACCCTGAGCTATTGCTGCCCCGGAATGGTATATACGAAAATTGTCTTCATTGAAGACATGAAGCATTGTTCTAAAGACACAGAAGTAAACAGCACCTTTTTAATACAAATTTAGATTTGGTTAGAGCAGAGCCAAACCATAAATTAAACTGCATCATACAGCTGTTTTGTCCTTCTAGGACTTGTCAGTGATGCTAAGAGCTTTAATTTAAAACCTAGGAGGCGACGGAGGAAAATCCAAAATGATCAAAAGAAAAGTCAAAATCTACATGGGGAGGTGATCTATCCCAAAAATTCAGTAAATTTCGTAAATTTCAAAACAATGTCAAGTACATGTGTTTATTATAAAATAACATACCTGATGGTATTACTTTAAAATTTTTTCAGGTCTTCCTTGGGTTCAGAAACAAATGCTGCTTCACATTTTTATATCATAAATAGGAAATAAAGAGAAATTATCACTTTTGTTGCCTTAAAGATCATATGTTATACAATAAACTAATTCCATACTTCTATACTCCATCACTTCACTACTACTTCACTAATTATTGCACTAGTGTATTACAATACACAAAAGCTAACACATTAAAATTATGGTATATATTAATTCTTTACTTCATATATAACACCTAATCTTAACAAGACCAGTGGTGTATTCTTAAACACAGTATCTTGCTATTACAAAATGATTGCAGTTTTCAAAAAATAAATTCTCCTTCAGCTAACATTTATTTTCACACCGGTATATGTATGTATCAAAATAATTTTGGCATAAATTATCTGATATGATGAAAAATATACAATTAGTTTCTTCTGTATACATGTGTATTTTTATATTTTAAATTCACTCTAATAGAACACAGGTACAAGTAGGTATTAAGGAGATATGTTTCCCAAGAATCAGCAACGATCAGGGGCAGACATATATTCCTTTATAGCCAAACTGAGTTGTTGAACCCCCTTATCAATCTGGTTAGTATCACAGAAGCTGATGGACAGACGAATACAGTTCTGAAAACTCCCTGTAGGTGAGGTGCTGTAAGGAAAGAAAAAATGTTGGTAATAGGTAAGAGATAATGAGATCCATACAGAATTTTTACTTTCAATTTTCTCACTTGATGAGACACTCAAGCAGCTATGAAAACTATATGATAAGAAGTGAACTGTATTCTGAATTTAATATCCATATGATAGTTTGGGAACTATAGTCACAAAAGTACTGCTTAACTACGGAGAACTTCTCTTCAGCTCCATCAATTGTATGTAAGACTATTGTGCCTATATTGGTATGGATATACAATCTTTCAACAGACGTAAAACAAAACCAGAACTAGAGTCATCAAACAAACAAGTTGTCTCTGTAGAAATAAGACAATTATTTCATCTATTCAAAATTCTTTCAAAGGTACAATATACTGATACAAGCAATTCTTGATTCTAAATCAGGGCATTTCAATTAGCTGAGAAGTTTTTCATTAAACAATATGATTTTTCAAAAATCTTTTTTTTTCACTTTTTTCCCTAAAAAGTTCAGTATCACTTAGTTTTTTCAATAAACTCAAATCAACAATGTAGACTCTATCATATCTTACATTTGTGAAAAGTATGCAAACAATTTCAAATTAATTTCCCTTTCAGAAATATTTAATATGACATGAAACATCCATTTTCCAATACCTAGTAGGATTTAGAAACAACCTTCAATCTTCTCCTATAATTGTATAATTAGATTTCTTTAAAGTATTTTGTTTTTCTTTCTGAACATCAGTGAAAATTAAAACCATGCAAAACCTTAAGACAACATGACAGTCCCTAATTTGAAAATAAATCTCGAACTCGTACTTTAACAAAAAATGTTTAATTATCCTGTTGAAATTGACATCCATTAGTTTCAGAAAAAGTTTTTAACATAATGTGGACCACAACACCAACATTGATAATAATATTCTTCAAATTGAAGTAAAATCTTACTAACCTTTGACCTGTAATAAAATTCACTTTGTATTTGCCATTAGCTAGACTCAGTAATGCTGTTCCATCAACTTTGCTTGGTAATCTCACCCAAACAAAGAATCCACCCTTTAAACATAAATGTGTGACATGCTAAGAATTTTTATCAATACATTATATTAATCACTCTACATGACAATTACATATTAAGAAACAAGGATATCAGTGAACCTGATGAATGCTCTCCAAAAGCAACTTCATTAAACACAAAATGTAAACAAAGGGAAATTATTCTATAATTAAGGAGATGCAGGACCTGAATTTTGGTACACTGCAATTAGTCTTAGTATGACCAATGTATACAACATGTTTCATTTTTCTAATTTGAATGCAAGCAATGTTTTGCTCTGGAAACTGATCATTAACTAACAGGTTGCAGACAACGAATTCTGCACTTTGTCCTTGTATGATCAGTGTATACACCTAGTTTCATGATCCTTGCTAAATTGTTGGCAAACCATGATCTAGACAAAATAAGTTAACATAGCCACAATAACTCTGTAATGAAGGGGTTTTTAGAACTGAATTTGGTACACTGCACATACCCTTAGTATCACTAATGTATACACCAAGTTTCATTAGCCTTCTTCAAATACATGTAGTTTAAAGGTATACTCTGGACAAGAAATTTTCACAAAGGGCAATAACTCTGAAATTTAGGAATTGTGGTCCCTGAATTTGGTACACTGCACATTATCTTTGTATGATAAATGTAATCACTAAGTTTCATTAACCTTGCTTAACTGTGGGCAAAGTTATGCTTTGGATATAAAAGGACAGACTGAAAGCCAGACAGACAGACAGACTAAGATGCAACTATACACTACGCTGGAAAATTTTCTGGGAGCATAACAATATAATATATAATTGACAACAATATGCTGCACCATGGTGGGTGAGCTATTAAGTATTACCTTTGGTTTGATGAAGTGACATCCTTCAGGTAGATATTTAGGTAGAGTATCACAAAGAAGACTCATTCTTTCCTGGAAAATAGAAGCATTAGCTGTGTTCACGATGATAGAATCATGTATAAGTTGGTACATGTAAAACAAGGTTAATTGAGCCAAGAGAAACTGCCCACCTACTCTCACAGTGAACCTGTAATACTGTACAATGATCAACAACTGAAAGTTCAAGTGGATGAGAGTCCCAGAAAATGTAGTGAATCAATATCTTACCCCATATACATTGCAGAGGTGACTCAGGTGTTCCGACAGGAGTCCACTCTGTAACACTGATGACATCACCCGCGACGTGTAGTGATTAAAACTGCCTCCACTCCAAGCTGTGAAACTGCCAAAAACCAAGTGAGCTCAGTGCACAGATACTCTTAGGCACCATAAAATTATTTGATCTGGTTAAACGTTAATAGATTGTCCTTAAGATGATAACATTGCCCTACTACAACCTATATGAACTAGGCATGATGTTACAAATATATGTTAACCTTTTATTTTAAACAAAAAAATTCAAATGTGAATCATTGTTGTTATTTGATCCCAAACACTAAATGATGATCAGCAAAATCTACTAGCTGTATATTTGTTTTATTGCTTTTTGTCCTATTAACAGCTCTGGTCATTTAAGGAAAAGAATATATATTGTTTGTCAATATCAAATAACACTCTTCATCAGGTCATGAGAAATTCCGTATTTATTTTGCTATAATGGAAAAATGTCTTTGTTTGTACTTTTATGTTCTCTCAATAGCCATGCTGCATACGACGACAAGTGTCCAGGGAGACCCCAACACAGCACGGTTATACATGTATGAGGAGAGCTGGTATCTAGGGAGACACCACAAGACAGGGGAATATGAGGATAAGTGTCTTAGGAGACACCCAAAGACATAGTCATATGATGATAGGTGTCTTGAGTCAAACTAACAACCAGTATCACATGAAGACAGGTGTCTAGCAAGACATTGACAGTCAAGGTCACATCAGGATAGACCTCAAGGGAGATGACAACAGTCAGGGTCAGTGCTTAGGGAGCATCAACAGCCAGGGTCATCAGAAGATGGGTGTCTGACAGACACTAACAGTCAGAGCCATATGAAGACACCTGTCTAAAAAGGCAGCAACAGCCAAGATCATTTGCAGACAAGTATCTAGAGAGACATCAACAGTCAGGGTCAGCTCAAGACAGGTATCTAGGGAGACACCAATCCAACAGTTAGAGTCATATCAAGATAATTGTCTCAGGAGACACCTACACCAAGGAACAAATAAAGACAGGTTTCTAAGGACAAAAAAAATTAAAGATAGTTTACACAGGACTGAAAGAAAAGGATAAGATCCCAAGTATTGGAAGGCCAGTTGGAGGGCAGAAGCATATTGATTTTGGCTGCTTCAATAGAATTCATAAGACTACAAAAAAAACCCTCTATTCTGCAGGAGGCCTTGCAAGTAGCTGCCTGTTTGGTCATGAAATATGACAGTTACACCTGTTCTGCCCCTGTTCCTGCTGGGGATAACACAGATTATGGAACAGCATTAATTGGTTTGTAATTTTAATGAACAGGAGTATAACTGGGCTTATTCTACAATGTACTAGGCATGGACATGCAGTGTTTTGCTTAGAAATATGTGCACTATTGTCTAATCAAGGGTTCATGTGACTGGCTTTTGACCAACACATGTCACCCAGCTATCATTACAGTGAGCATGTATCTGCCCAGCGGCATAAAGGATCGCTTTATAGTATTTATGTCTAATGGTATTATTCAGAATAATCTTTCCACTCCTTCTGGTCACACTCTATGATCATAACCTATATACATTCTGTATAACATGCATGTATATAATTCAACTCCAACCTGGCAAAATCTAATCCTTAAAATAGAAACAGATGGTTGTACAGTAGAACCTCCTTAATATCATGTTCCATTTGTCAGGGGAAATGTGATATTAAGCAGAATGTGACATTAACAGTTGAAAGGATTATTAGACTTTTTCATGTATCAAAACTGGAAGCATCACTATTATGAACTACTATTCAGGTTAAATCTCTTGATTTTCAGATTTTCTCTATCTTTAATTTCAATCCAGAATATATTCAAGATCATTTCAAATGAATCTCTGTATTTCTTCTTAGGCTATAAGATATAACATGTGATATACTTTGTATGCTCTGTTTCATGTCTCCAAAAATACAATATGTAACATTTTTTTCTAAGATATTAGGTAATTGTAAGATAAAATTATCTAAGCCTGTAAATTCCATTTCTTTGTCCCGGTTTAAAAAAAATTTCACAGATTATTTATGAGAAAACATATTTTTTATGTTCAAAATATACCTTGACCACAGCAACTTGACAACTTCAGGATGTCCCTCTATCCAACCAAGTCGTAAACCAGGTGCAAAAATCTTGGAGAAGGTTCCATTGGAAAGTACACAGCCCTTGTAGTCAGGCTTCTCACTGGAAACAATTTTATCATTTGTATTACTACACTGTAAAATTAAGACAAAGACAGCATGAAATGACAAAGCTTCAGATTATTCTACATCCATCACAAGAAATAGTAATTCCAAATGTTAGTGTAGAAAATCACTGATGTGATAACACTAATATACATTAATGTATATTGTAGTCTCCTTTTAATGGTTATTACAACACCATACATCTGTACTAATTTAAAAAATACTTTACTTTGGAGTTGTTATACATCAAGTTCCTCTGCAGTGAAAGTGATTCACACTGTTTAGGTAACTTAGCTCTCAGCTCACTACAGGAATCTCACCTGTTGTCACAGGTAAGAAAACTCATCTGATATCACAGGAGAGGAAGCTCACCTCAAATCATAGGAGAGATAACCCACTTTAAATTGTTGGAGGACTAAACACATCAGAGACTGTAGGAGGAAAACCTCACCTGATATCTTATCAGATAGAGCTCATCTGACATCATATAACAGGAGACTTCTGTTTTCATATCAGTGGAGATTCATCTGAAATCGCAGGAGAGGAGCCTTACTTGTTATCACAGCAGTGGAGACTCACCTGACATCATATGAGAAGAGACTCGTCTGACATCATATGAGAGGAGACTCACCTGACATCATATGAGAAGAGACTCGTCTGACATCATATGAGAGGAGACTCACCTGACATCATATGAGAGGAGAGTCGCCTGACATCATATGAGAGGAGACTCACCTGACATCATATGAGAGGAGACTCACCTGACAGCATATGAGAGGAGTCGCCTGACATCATGTGAGAGGAGAGTCGCCTGACATCATATGAGAGGAGACTCACCTGATATCATATGAGAGCAGACTCACCTGACAGCAAATGAGAGTAGAGTCGCCTGACATCATATGAGAGGAGACTCGCCTGACATCATATGAGAGGAGACTCGCCTGACATCATATGAGAGGAGAGTCGCCTGACATCATGAGAGGACAGTCACCTGACATCATATGAGAGGAGAGTCGCCTGACATTATATGAGAGGAGAGTCGCCTGACATCATGGGAGAGGAGATTCACCTGACATCATATGAGAGGAGACTCACCTGACATCATATGAGAGGAGACTCACTTGGCATCATATGAGAGGAGAGTCGCCTGACATCATGGTAGAGGAGACTCACCTGAAATCGCAGGACGGAAGACCCGCTTGTTATCAAAGCAGTGGAGACTCACCTGACATCATAGGAAAAGAGACTAGCTCGTTATCAAGATTCAAGTGGCATCATAGGAGAGGAGACTCACCTGATGTCATATAAGAGGAGACTCTTCTCTTCTGTTATCAAAGCGATGGAGACTTACTTGACATCATAGGAGAGGAGACTTGCTTGTTATCAAAGCAGTGAAGACTCACCTATTAGCATAGGAAAGGAGATTCTTCAGACATCATGGGCAAGAAAACACATCTAACATCATGGTACAGTTTACACATCTGACAGCGTACAAGAGGAAACTCACCTGCTATCATAGGAAAGGAGACTAACCCCTTATCATAGGAGATGAGACTAACCTGACATCATAGGAGAGAAGACGTGGAGGTGGCGTGTCTTTCTCATAATGGAGTAGGTTGTAGACATCTTCTGTAAACAGTAGGACGTCATACTTCCTGGCTAGCTCTATCAGCTTTTGACACTTTTCTAATAAAAAGAGGATAATGTAAGAATCTGGGGAACAGTGTACACCAATAAACTGATATATTCAAAGATAAAACACATCTGTTATATATGAATGGCCCTGCTCCCATAAATGATGTGACCTTGACCTCTGACAACCATAATATGACATGATGTTTTCTTGATACCATTTGGTAAATATGAACTAAAACTGTTGAGAGGTTTCAAAGATATTACACACTGATTCCTAACTGGGCGGGGCATGATGTTACAGGACAGGACAAACTGACATTGATAACATCATACCCAAAATATCACAGATGAAATATTAGAACACCAGATAAAAGGTCAGGCCATGAGATTAACTGTCAGATTTCCAGGTTAAAGGTTAAATGTCAGATTTCATGGATATGTAAGGTTGAAGGTTAAACCAAAAGGTTAGATCGCAAGCTTAAAGGTTAGATCACCAGCTTATAGGTTAGATAACCAAATTAACATTCAGATTTCCGGGATACATGTAAAGGTTAAAGGTTATATTAACAGGTTAAACATTAGAATACCTGGTGAGAGACAGTTGCCTCTGGGATTGTTGTACACTGTCATCAGATACAACATAGTCCAGAAGGGACACTTCCATGTGCTCTTGTCTCCAGCTTTCTGTCTGTGTTGCTTCAACAGCTCCTCAAGTGATTCCAAGTTTATACCATCATCCCCAACAGGAACTTTTAATAATTCAAAAAGTAATGATTTCAAAATCTGATTACCAATCAGTGCAAAGATGTTACAAAAACAACTGTGACAAATGTAGCCTACTTTATAACTAAAAACCAGTAACAATTACAATATCTATTCATGCAGTACCTAATCTTAGGTTTTTAGCATTTACACCTTCTTTATTCTGTAACTTCATTAGAGAGATGGTGAGGTTCTTCATCAGGGACAGGGTGATGTTCTTCATCATGGACAGGTTGAGGTTCTTCATTAGGGAGATGGTGAGGTTCTTCATCAGGGACAGGGTGATGTTCTTCATCATGGACAGGTTGAGGTTCTTCATTAGGGAGATGGTGAGGTTCTTCATCATGGACAGGGTGATGTTCTTCGTCATGGACAATGTAAAATTCTTTAACAGAGAGATGGTGAGATTCTTCATCAAAGAAAGGGTGTGGTTCTTCATCAGGAGGAGCATGATGTTCTTTAACAGGGAGATGGTGTGGTTCTTCATCAAGGATAGGGTGAAGCTTTTCATTAGGAAAAGGGTGAGGCTCTTCATAAGGGAGAAAGTGAGGCTCTTCATAAGGGAGAAAGTGAGGCTCTTCATAAGGGAGAAAGTGAGGTTCTTCATATCGGAGAGGGCAAGATTCTTCATCTGGGAGAGAGTGATCTTCTTCATTTGGAAATAATGAGGATCTTCATAAAGAAGAAAGTGAGGTTCTTTAACAGGGAGAAGGTGAGGTTGAGGTTCTTCATCAGAAAAATGGTAATGTTGTGATTCTTCATACGGGAGATGGTGAGGATATTTATCAGGGAAGATGTGAAAATGAGGTTCTTTATCAGATAGAGGATGAGGTTTATATTCTTCATTGCGGGGAGTTGAGGTTCTTCATTAGGCAGAGGGTGAAGGTCTTCCATGGGTAGAGGGCAAGGCTCTTCATAAGGGAGAGGGAGAGTTTCAGATTTGTAGGATCTATGTAGATAGTTGTGAATTCACTTTTTTGCTTTCTTAACATATCCATCAATATTTCAAGCAAAATAAAAATCAAAGGTGCAGGTTTTAGGTAGAAGTAAGATGATCTATTTAACAATGTTATAAATCGCCTACAATGATAGCCTAATAAGAAAACTTACCATATCCACAATAGCAACTTCCAAAGAATATGATCCTACAGGTTTGTTAATTTTTGTATCGGTACATAACAAATGGTCACGAGCTGACTGGCAGTTCAATCAATTACATTTTTACCTGGTATAACCAACTTCCCCAAGTCCTTCTGTAATATGTTGATGGCTATGAAGTAAGTGGGATCCTCAACAAACACAGGAATATCCTTATCAAAGAGGACAGATGCCGTCAAATGGATACCATGAGTGGCACCAGCTGTAACCATCAGATTTTCCCTACAACATGTTACCATCACTATAAGCTAAGGACATCACTACCAAAAGTGGTCACAATGAGGTCGTCACTACAAAATGTGGTCACCCTGAGGCCTATCAATATAATATCCTTGTTTGTCATATTTTTTTTTTTCATTTAAGTCTGAAAATTTTTATATCTAATGATTCAAAAAAATTATATTTACCTAGTAATGTTATTGTCTCCATATTGTAAAGACAAGAATTTGGCAAGATGTTCCAGAAATACTGGATCGCCCTGACGAGGACCATACTGGAAAACATATCTCTCCTGGGACAAGTCACTCTTCAAAACAAAATCGACTTGAATCTAAATATGTCTACAATGCAACAAAAGAATATGGAAATGGTACAGAGGGAAATATTGATAGTTGATAAAACATGACCCATCTCCAGAGAGTTCCAGGCAAGTAATCTATTATTTGAACTTACACTCATATGTGTATAATAAGATAATCTTTATGTCTGTGTGGCAAATCATATCAAACCTGAATAACAGCACAGATGACAATGAACTTAATGCAATATATCTGATTGCTGCAGCTCTAGCTTTCATGTAATGGTCAAGTATCACAGGTCTAGTGGTTGGAACAAAGACCTTATGTGCCAAACTTAGCTGGTTACCCAATCATAAAACATCTACCCATGATGTCATACTTTCTTGTATGCAGAACAGTATTATACTACAGGGTTTTCCATAAGAGCCGGTCGCTGGCCAATTTGACCGGCTACTTTGATCATTTGGCCGCCTACACCAATCCAGTTCCATAATAATGTTCTGTACACGACTACACGTACATGGCAGACCAGCCTCCTACTTACACTACACAGCCCACTTCTAGCAAAATTATGGAAAACCCTGTACTATGAAGTTAAATTCAATAAAATTCAACTGTCACAGAAAGCAGGGTTTACATGCCAGTATGTAAAATTACAAGACTAAAAACTCAACTTCCTGAAAGAAAACAGAAAAGACATGTACCATATATTGATATGAAGTGTAATATATAATCTAGTTCTAATTAGAAAAGAAGTAGATAACATATTTGCGGAAAAAAAATAGAGAAAACAAATAGAATAACTATTAATGATAAAAAAAACTGTGTGTATGGATACTGGGCTGAAAATCAATGAAATAGACAATGGGAATATTTAACAAACACACCGATTTAAAAAATTGTCATAATAGGCCCATAAAATGAAACATGCTGTACTTCAGTATATAGGTCTAATTGTGGCCTACATTTTAGGTAAACTGTTTTTTCCAGTTATTAAGTACCGTAAATGCTAAATAATGCCATTTCTCGCTGAAATATTCTAATAAAAAGTCACATTAGGGGTAACGACCAACAAATCACAAAAAAAAAATCCTTTGGGGTGATTTGAACTCAATTATCTTTCCTTAAAAAGATGCAAGTTATCCATAACCAAGATATTAGTGCTACAGTAACACGTTACCATAGCTAAATCTGTCGCTTTTATCATTATTTCCTTGCAACCTGACAATGCAGTTTGTCCAGGAGCTCCCATGGCAAAAGAAATCAATTCATCGTCCCCTACAAATTCTAAATCTTCGAATAGGTCGCGAGCAGTTGTGATTGCCATTTCAGCTTGATAACCTCCGAACTTGACAAAGGGATATAACTCTCATATGACGAAGTGTTTCGTTTCACTTGATCCATGTTCATAAATTGTGACAACCGCACAGGTGCCCAGCAATGGAACGTAAATATGAGTTTATATGCAGATTGTTGGAGAGGAAAACTTGTGATTGAACTTATAGAGGAATGTGTAAGAATTTCAAGTGTCTGCTCTGAACGATTGGTTTGTTTTTAAGGGCAAACGCGCTTGAAAACAAGTAGCAAGTCCGAATTTCTACCCGTCGTCCTGCCATGGAAACATCAACATGGCTGCACCAGGACCAGAAGTGACAGCTCTTATGAAAAGAGGGAAGCGAAACACTGCCAGTTATTATAAAGGGGAGTGCTTTCGAAAGGGCGGAAACAATCAGTCGTTAAATAATCTTTTGGACAGTTTATTCGACCCAAGATCAAAATCTATCGACGATGTTGACACGATTGATTGGTGTCGATGGTTAATAGCTGGCGGATCCACATTTGACGAATTCACAAAAACAGGTGCTCCTTTTATCTTTCTCTTCCATTTTTTACAGGATTTCATTTAATTGACAACAACACGAACAGGTTGCAAACAATATGTAGTATTAAATTATGATTCCATGCAGAGGGTATTTTACATTCCAGAGATGCTTGCCCGATTTCCTACACGCCTACGTGCAAAGACTAGCTGCACGTTACATATATATATTGGCCACATATTACCGTAGACCTATCCACTTGTAATCTGTATACATTGCATGTGCGTTCATTTGCTTCGATGATATAGCGACCTGTAAATGCATACATAGTGACTACATGTACTTTGATATTGTCATTATTATATATATTTTAAAAAATTACTGCATTACATTGTTGCTTTTCTGAACGAGCTACAGGAATAACATAAACACTAAGGACTGGCACTTGCTCCAAGTGAATGCATGGAAGATTAATGTACATGCTATTATCAAGATGATGTAATATTGGAATATGCAATGAGGGATATGTCATTGAGATAAGAACAAATTCTTAGAAGATAAGGAAGCAGGCCTTAATGTTAAAGATATTTAAACAAAAAATATGTTCTATGTATGCAATATGTATGATCTCATGCTTTTGTATATGTACTGTACATCTGAAGGTTAGTGTGGTACATAATATTTTTCTACAGACATGTATATGTAGGTTCAAGCTAGGCATAACATAAATATATTTTAGGTCTCAAGTCCAGTATATTTGAAACCATTTGTACTGTATACTATATACATGTATAGACATCTAGTTGTATGGCCTGCCAGTATTTTCCAAATTTTTAGCCAGACTTGAACTTTTAAATTATGTTCGTAAAAAAATGATCATACTATAATCATGATCAGGTTATTTTCCATTTGGTTTTAGGTTGTTCCCGTGTTAAGTTCTTTAAAGATTGTAAAGGATCCAGTAAATATTATAAGCAGTTATAGATTCATTTACTTTCATTTGAAAGTGACAAAAGGTACTCAATTACATTGTACTAATTAAATTTTGACAGATCCTTACAACCAGCTGTAAGATAAAACTAATCTTTTGTAAAAGTTGAAAGTACAGGTCCCCTTACTAGCCTTGGCTAGTGGGAATTTCCTTATAGTCAAGCAGTAGAACATCTGATTAGAGACCGAAAGGTCCTAGTTTGAACCCCAGCAGTAGTAGGGTATTTTCATTACCAGGTAATCCTTCCTGTTACACAGTTATCAGGAAGTATTCAAAATTTCAAATCAAATCATTTAGCAAGCATTTTCCTGTTGAAATTGTGATGCAATAAATATGCAACTTTTACCATTTGCTTAAAGTACATGTACTTGTATCTCTTTTGCTTTCATTTCAGTAAAACAATATGATAATGCCATTATCTGTGGACTTGTTTGGACAGCCAATTTCGTGGCTTACCGTTGTCGGACTTGTGGGATCTCACCGTGCATGTCATTGTGTGCAGAGTGTTTCCAAGCTGGGCAGCATGAGGGACATGACTATAATATGTTCCGCAGTAAAGCAGGGGGAGCTTGTGACTGTGGAGATGTCAGTGTTATGAACAAAGACGGGTAAATATTAACATTACTGTTCAGTGCTCCCCTTTGTTATTCCCCCACCAGGAACTGGAGGAGACTATGATTTTGCCTTGTGTCTGCATGTTGGTCCTTTCATTCTATCACTTTTTTGCCTGGGCCCTGTCTTTGACGCAACTACTGACAGGAATTTAATATTTGGGATATGGGTTCACCAAAGTGTGTTAGGTATCAAAAGTAGATAATTCTGACCTACATTTTGATCTTTGACATATATGTATATCAAAGAAAAGTTTGTCTGGGCCCTATCTTTTACACTATTATTCACAGAAATTTTATAATTTGGAACACAGGTTCACTTTTGTGAGGAGGTGTCACATATTAAAACTGGGTCAATTTGACCTACATTTTGACTTTCAACCCCATCAAAGAAAAAAGTTTTACCAGGCCTATATCTTACTATCATTACTAACTGCAGGTACTTTGTATTTATAATATGAGTACAACTTAGCAAAATGGTCTGTTGGGTATCAAAATTATGTCTGACCTTTCACCTACATCAATGGAAAATATTGTCATGGCCCTATCTTCTACACTACTTTTCCATATTCATACAGGGGACTCTTAAAAATCTGGGATACAGTTCTTTTAATTTCACCAATTCAGAGAATTTGACACCCTCACTTAAGGGTAATTGGCAATAATTGGCTGTGGAAATCACGTAATGATTTACTCCTTTCAAGTATATTCTGTAGGTGACATATTCATGCAGAATTTTTCCTGAAAGCCTCTCAACAAATTAACCAAAATTAGTGTAAAATTGTCCTGATGAAGTCTGGACCGGAGGCGAAGCTAGTCGACAATAAAGTTTAGTAACCTACTTATGTTATAACCCTTGATCTTGTTGAGATTAACTTTCCTTTATATTGTATGTTCTCCAATCAAGTATATTTCTTATAATATTGCGTTGTCAAGACTGGAATTTTGAAAACATTGGTTTCCTGGTTTCTTTAAAACAATTTATTTTTATCATGAGTTATTTTTGTGGCAACATTGAATATAATTTTGTAGATTTTATATTGATATGTCAATACCAATTTTACTTTCAAACAGACTTATTATAGTTACCCATTTTTGAGCTGCTGGAATTTTCAAACAGCAGTCATGTTTGTTGTTGGTATATGTACTATAATAACAAGTTTAAGCAGCTGATCAAGTTGGTGTGATAGTTACAATGAGTTTAATCACAGCCCTTTCTAGTCCAAATTTTTCTGACGTTCATGGACTCCAAACTGAGGAAACAAAGTTGATGGAGCATCAGAATAATCTAGACTAAATCCCTTCAGGATCATATCAAAGGCAACAAAGTGCTTATGAGATTTAGATTTGACATAATTATCTTGTAGTACTGTTGATGCTGTTCATTTAATTACAAAATTGGTTAAAAGTATAAGCATTCTTGAAATTAATTTGTTAAAATTATAGTTGAATGGTGAATCTGAAGTATGCATACAAACTCAAAAAATGTTCCTGGGTCTGAAATTAGTTATTAGTAATTTTACAAAATCTGGCTGAGGATTTGTCCTGGATTTATTTACAACATTAAGTTAAAGTGTTGACTATTATCTCTGCAGATTTTGTCTGCGTCATGGACCGAATCGTGGGAAGCAACACTCCAGTCCTCCCCCTGATCTACTGGCCATTGCTGAAGCCATGTTACCAAGGGTTGTCCTCCGACTCGTTCATCATCTCAGAGACAGTTCAAATCCAGGTTAGTGACCATGAGTGTTATGGATACTGATATATATCAAATACTCAACCCAATAGTAAAAACTGACATTCACATATATAGAGGCAGGAATGTAGTACAGGCAATAAGTAACAGTTGAAAGTGATTATGGCACAACACCTTACAAACATATGTTACAGCTCGAATTTTTAGAAGGAGCTCTCTTAATTTGACTTTGATTAAAAATGTATACAACATGCATGGACATTTAAATTGATATCAAATGCTTTCTGAGTAAGTCAGCTCTTGTTTTGTCATTATCTATCCATTTGTGTGATTCGTTTACACAGATGTACAGGGTACCTACTCTTTGACAATGCAGGATGTAATTTTGTACAGTAATAAATTATCATTTATTTGTAGATATGCAGGGTACCTACTCTTTGGCAATGCAGGATGCAGAACAGTTTCTAACTTTCCTTCATAGTCTCAGTGACATGGGAGCTGCCATGAGGAAAGTGATGGGCCAGGCACTCACAAATCAAGTCGTGTATAAAAACTTAACAGAGGGTTAGTAATTTATTTGCAAAAAAATTAACCAGATGAAAGGTTTGTTTATGTCACTTATTTAACATCCAGACAGGCAAAAGTGATTGATTATATATTGAAGTAACATGTGTTGTAATTGTTCTAGTTAGGGCTTTGAGTAAAGATATATTTAAACTATATAATGATAATGTTGAGAACTTTTCATTGCCTTGATTTATTTGTAACATGATGTAGATAACTGGTCATTTTCCAAATATATAATCTTTATCTGTCTTACAAACCTAATGCTGGTGTTTTATCTTTTATAGTTACAAATCCAGAAGAGGAGAGCAATTCCTATAAAGTAGACAGTCAGAAGAAATTCAAAACTACAGTAGAGAATATGAAGTATCCCAAAGTATTTGATGATTATATAGGTATTTTATTTCTGAAGTCGTAGTTAAAGTCTTTGATGTCTATATAGGTATTTTGTTTGTGTCGCCATGGTGAAAGTTTTTGATGTCTATATAGGTATTTTATTTGTGAAGCCGTAGTTAAAGTCTTTGATGTCTATATTGGTATTTTGTTTGTGTCGCCATGGTGAAAGTCTTTGATGTCTATATAGGTATTTTGTTTGTGTCGCCATGGTGAAAGTTTTTGATGTCTATATAGGTATTTTGTTTGTGTCGCCATGGTGAAAGTCTTTGATGTCTATATAGGTATTTTGTTTGTGTCGCCATGGTGAAAGTCTTTGATGTCTATATAGGTATTTTGTTTGTGTCGCCATGGTGAAAGTTTTTGATGTCTATATAGGTATTTCATTTGTGAAGCCGTAGTTAAAGTCTTTGATGTCTATTTTGTTTGTGTCGCCATGGTGAAAGTCTTTGATGTCTATATAGGTATTTTGTTTGCGTCGCCATGGTGAACGTCTTTAATGTCTATATAGGTATTTTATTTCTGAAGCCATGGTGAAAGTCTTTGATGTCTATATAGGTATTTTGTGATAACAAGCTTATATTAAGGTACCTAATACATGACAGATTTTATTAGGCTAAGGTAAAAGTTAATCAATTATATCAGGTCATCAGTCCATCACTTTTTACAAGTGTCACACTGTAAACATAAATATAATCAGACCTTTAATGTTGTTTAATTCCAGGAATGCTTGCTGGCATGCCAGGCCTTACGCAAACATTAAATCACAAAACTCTACTGGAGGAGCTAGTCTTCTGGATGGTTAAGTTTGAGTTCCCTCAGAGGATGGTTACACTTCTGCTGAGTCTACTCCCAGACGATGATTACAAGGCATGTTTAAATTGAAAAGAATTCCAAAATATTTTTCATGTCAACGTGTTTTTAACTATTTGCTCTCAGCTGCAAATCTTTTAATCATTTTATTTTATTTATTTTTTTCAAACATAAGTTTTTTGCCAAAACATCTTAATATTAAGCAACATTTTTGAACCATAGATATTTTACTTATAAACAATTGTGTGCCAGTTGCCATATTGGATGCACAACAATAAACTCTGCAGATTGAGCCTGCAGTTACTCTTGACTACTAATGTACACAGAAAGTTACATTGGACTTGTAATGTAATACTGTATCCAATAAGTTGTCCTACAGAAAAATGCAAGAGAAAACTAAGGATGAGTTTTAAAAAAAATGAAGTGAAAATAGTGTAGTCATAATTGTTTTATTTTGTTGAAATAATGCTTGACATTTGTCTTAGATGTTGCTGGTTAATGGATATTTGATTTGTACGTGTGAAAAACACACATTTTAATCTAGTGGAACCTTGTAAGAAACTGGACATTTTGAAAATTATATGACCCTTTGATGGTATACACAATGTGCTGTGGATATCTGTCAAGATCCCCTGTATTAATTGAATAAGAATTTATCAGTACTTCTTTTTTCTGCTATGATGCTTCACTTTTTGTCTTATACACAGTGTTATGAATCTATATTGTATACTTTTTTCCTCAGGAGGCCTTTACTAGAGCGTTCATTGATCACTATAGCAGGATATCCCTTGTGCTGGTGAATGGACTGAGTCGGCCGGCTATCGCCAATCGAGTGGTTCACATCAGCGTACAATTGTTCAGTAATGAAACATTGGCAAGGAAAATGGTGGATGAATATAATTTGTTGTATACTCTCATCTTAAGCCTCACACACATGGTGGAAAATATTGTGACACAAAGCACACTCCAGGGTGAGTATCAGTTTAGTTGTTATTACGCAAATATCTGAAATATTCTCAGCTTTTCAGTGATACAGTAGCATAATGATGAGTGATTGTGTTAAGTCCTTAAATCATTACATGTGTGGAAGTTGAATGGTGTGAAATTTTCCCTTTATAACATACTGATATAGGTATAGGAGAATTCCAGTTTCACTCCTTAATATCATAATCATATTTTTTACAGTAGTTCTAATCTGAGATTCATGCTTCACACAGAAGTAAAGGTAATGCTTACATCTGTATGATAAACAAAATGTAATAAAAAAGTATAACTTGGTCAGTAGAGTGTTGACCTATACAACCTCAGGTGAGGATCCGAGGTGGGTGATTTGACACACCTTACCTGCAGCTGTTTTTGTTTCTCAAGAAAGCTGAGAAATAGATCAGTCAGTGCTGTCTTTGTTGTGGTCTTTAGTAAGACAGGCCTCCTGTATATCGCTCAGTGAAGAAGCCATCAGATATCAACCGCTTAGTGATCTACATCTTTATAGAGGTTCACATATAAACACACCACACACATTTAATACTGACATGTACACATAAATACTCATACAGGTACATGCTTACACACAGTAAACACATTTAATACATCAAATTATGCCAGAACTTACTTCATCTACATACCTGCATATCATAGAATCTCATATGTAGAGAAATGAAAGTGAAGACAAAAGACTAGAAAAATACTATACATTGCTGACTTAGAGGATAGGAGAAATGAGAAGAAGAGGGTTGGAGATGTCGGGGTTGTTTTGTTGTCTGCTTTACTAGAGGAATGACAAGGCACCAGATATTACATATCACATATGAAATACATTATACCACATATCAAATATTCCAAATACCACATATCAAAATGATCCTGGCTGTTGATAGGGCTGTACATCCAGCAAACCAACAGACAAAATTCTGAATGATGTATTTTGGTTTACAGACTCTCAGATGAACATGCACATGGTGGTGGACTGTGACAATGATGTTATGAAGGACCATTGCTACTGGCCAGTGGTCAGTGACCTCATAAACCTCCTTTCCCATCAGTCCATTGCCCACAAGTTCCTCAGTGACCTTCGCCTCATCAACATGTGGCTGGAGCTTCTCTGTTACTTCCAAGGTGAGGATCCAACCTTAAATGGCTATGATGAGTGTTTTCTTCTCCAAAATAAGAATATTGCTAAATACAAATATATAAGTATTCCATGAGGTACTTCAGTTATATTTGGATCTGTTAAAAGCAACATCATAATGTTTTTGAATTGCTGTAAAACTTTTCAAAAATCCTTCGAGGTTTTCCCCCTCTCCTTTACTCTTTTTTATGTACCTGTAAGACAGAAGAGAGCATTATCAGGAAAACCTTCCATTTATTTTGGTAGATTTCAAAGCAGCTTCCGGAAATTTTGGGTCCCGGTTTCTATTGAAGCTGTCTGATTTTTACTCCTATTTTGTAACTTGATTTTTAATCTTTGTCTAACTCTCTTCCCCAAATGTCAGGAGAAATGCAATATCGCAAATACCAAATGAAATTCTGAAATTTTACATTGGATGTTCTCAATAAATATCACAAGTAGAGAAATCAAAAAGGGTCAAATCAGAGAATGAAAATCAGGAAATATTCAGTCATTTCACTTTTGATATTTTCACCCTATGTGAGAACAGAGCAATTTAACAATGTTGCAAAAGTTTCACAGAACATAAAACAAACAAGAGCAAATAATACGTGGGGTGAAAGAGTATTTTTTTTCTTCAACGGATGAAAGTTCCTAGTATACAGAGCTTTAAATTCATTGATATTGAAATGCTTTCATTTTGAATATAGGTATGAACTTGAACCAGCGTGAGCTGAGTCAGCACATGGGGTTTGAGCCAGAGACCTATTACGCTGCCTTCTCCGCAGAACTGGAGATTGCTTCCTCACCAATGTGGTCCCTCATATCTCACTGTAAAGCCAAGGTATAATTTACTACCATGCTTTGTCACCAATGTGGTCCCTCATATCTCACTGTGGTCCCTCATATCTCACTGTAAAACCAAGGTATACTCTACTGCCATGCTTCCTCACCAATGTGGTCCTCATATCTCACTGTGGTCCCTCATATCTCACTGTGGTCCTCATATCACACTGTGGTCCTCATATCTCACTGTGGTCCTCATATCTCACTGTGGTCCCTCATATCTCACTGTGGTCCCTCATATCTCACTGTAAAACCAAGGTATAATCTACTGCCATGCTTTGTCACCAATGTGGTCCCTCATATCTCACTGTAAAACCAAGGTATAATCTACTGCCATGCTTTGTCACCAATGTGGTCCCTCATATCTCACTGTAAAACCAAGGTATAATCTACTGCCATGCTTTGTCACCAATGTGGTCCCTCATATCTCACTGTGGTCCCTCATATCTCACTGTGGTCCCTCATATCTCACTGTGGTCCCTCATATCTCACTGTAAAACCAAGGTATAATCTACTACCATGCTTTGTCACCAATGTGGTCCCTCATATCTCACTGTGGTCCCTCATATCTCACTGTGGTCCCTCATATCTCGCTGTGGTCCCTCATATCTCACTGTGGTCCCTCATATCTCACTGTGGTCCCTCATATCTCACTGTGGTCCTCATATCTCACTGTGGTCCTCATATCTCACTGTGGTCCTCATATCTCACTGTAAAACCAAGGTATAATCTACTGCCATGCTTCCTCACCAATGTGGTCCCTCATATCTCACTGTGGTCCCTCATATCTCACTGTGGTCCCTCATATCTCACTGTAAAACCAAGGTATACTCTACTGCCATGCTTCCTCACCAATGTGGTCCCTCATATCTCACTGTAAAACTGTAAAAATTCAGTGAATTCTATACTAGTAAAAACAGCACCTTCAAAATACCAGATTTTTTTATAAGAATTGTTGTGTCTGTCCATTATTACGTCATATTTGTCTTTATAACCGCAAAGTTATGCTTTATACTTAATAATATTCTGTTTATTTGCTCTAATGATGGCCGCATAGCAGTCAAAACATGTCGATGAATTAGTTCATAAATAAAACTACAACAAGTGTTCCTGGATGTTGAGAATCCTTTACTTTCGCTTTATGTTGACCACATTGTAAGGAACTCTACAGAATACCTCCGGTATCCATTCAGGAACCTAGCCACAATCTTAGACATATAGTGTGTTGGTCCTTCAATATTGTTTTCTCAATGCTGTGATTAGAAATCAAACAGCCAATGCTTCGTTTTAATAATTAAAAAAAGATTGCCTGTAAACATCATGATATCATTTTTAGGAGACTGCCAATTTCACCAAGAGTATGGTCTCTGTGTGTTTGGAGAACCTGAGGGAATGGTTTGATGCCATCAATTGTATGGAATCCACCAAGGTCAGTTAAATTCTAGTTTCAATAATTTTCCCTAAACTGAAATTAATTGTATGTTTTGTATTATGTTTGTGAAATATAGACAAGAAATCTTGAACTTTTTTCTTGATAAGAAAAAAAAGTCAATGTTAGAACAGACTGCAAACTGAAATTATCAACAGCTTTCTCACAGTTTGATCTTTACATATCAGGAAAACTTAAACAGTTCTGTCATATCTCTTTTGGACTGAATGGATCTTAAAATCATTATTCCATATATTATTTAATTCATAGTTTTGAAAGATATTACCATCTCATTCAACCTTGTATATTGTACGGGCATTCATTTCTGAATATGATTCCACTATAGGGTATACCTTTGGTGCGTTTGATTAAAATTATTGAAATATAGTAGAACCTGTTCAAATTACACACAACTATGCATGTAAAGATAGAGTTTGAACTATCAGAGTTGTCATTACCAAAAATCATGACAAAGTATCTAAAAGCGTCCTAGCAGGGCAGGAAACCTTGGGTCACAAATCACATTTTCTGGAGAGTCAAAGATAAAGTTATTATCTTTTGAAAAGCTTACTGTTCTGCAAAATATGTTAAACAAATGTGAAGAAATAAAAGGTTTCATTTTAATCTTCATAACTATGGATACTGTGATGAAGCAACCTGCCTGTGAAAAACACATTTCTGCTTGTGTATCGGCGGGAGTTAGCATTGACATATCAGTATGCAGAGTGTGGATTGAGACTTAATATGACTATGGATTGATGTTTGTTAAAATCTTTATGAATCTTCCAATTATTGGGACGGTCTTGACATGATTATCTTATCAAAATGTGAAGTAAGTTAACTTTGTTGTTTGGCAAAAGCGATCGCATAAGCTTGTTATTCAGAGTTGGGGCCTCAAGTTGTGTCAGCTGGCATGCGCACAATGTTACAGCGAGATGTGAAATAAATCACACTATACATCATGCTACATAAGTGGCATCAAATGCTTAAGATGGTCATTACAGCACGCCATCCACAGTGTTTAACGTTGATGTAAATTTTGACCACATGGAGCAATGATCGCATATGTAATATGTGCTGTCGTGCAATATATTTGAACAATTCAAAATGTAACTGAAACAAGCTAGAAAGGGTTTGAACTAGACAGAAAATTATTGTTTTTATAGAAAAAAATCACATTTTCATCACTACCCATCTATTTGAATTGACGAGAGGTTTACTGTATATGCATAACATTTCAAATTGTTATGAGTATATCATGCAGAAAAGTGACAAATTGAACTTTGTCTTCAGCCTAACCCTTATCAGTTGACCTTTCACCTGCCTCTACATCGTTACCTGGCGATATTCCTAGTTCATAGCGTTCAGAGTCAGGATATCTCTATAACAGAATTTGATTTGGCTCCGAAGAAGATGAAAACCATCCTTCATCACTTGTTACAGATACAGGTAAGATAATTTTGTGTTATGTCCTCATTGTGGGATTATTACCTGTATTCAGATGTTGAAAATGGCTTTTAAAAACTTTAGTGACATATAGATTTCAAAATTATTCCATAGTTGTTAAAATTTAAATACTTGCATAGCATTCTGTTTCCAATGCATTTTAAAGTATGAAATACTTGCATTTCTGCATTCTTATTGCATTATTGATAAAAGATGAAATTGAACTTCAAAATATCCATGATAGCTGTCTGGAATAAATGATGATCCCCCTTGATATTATGTGATAATTGGTATCAAATAAGGGAAGAAACAAGTGTCTTGAGTGTCGATTGTTTATCTAAGTATCCTTTACCACTTGTTTGTAACTGTTATATATTTTAGGTGTGTGTTGCTGAGGTGTATGCTAACATGTGGATAAGAAATGGTCTTCAGATCCGAGGTCAAGCGATGACCTATGTCCAATGTCACTTCTGCTACTCTATGGTGGACGCTGACCTGTGTCTACAACAGGTAGGTCAGCAGTAAAGGCTCTGTGATGTGTCTATCAGTGAAAGTATTGTCAAAGTAGCGGGTAATATGAGCATTGACTCCTAGTGAATAGCTTACAATGCCTTATAAGGCTGGTTCATTCATGGAATTATTTCATTTATGATTAAAAGCAATGTTATTATTTACATTGATGTCATCATCAGTTTGTGTTAAGACCAGTTTTAAAAAGGAGGATATTTCCATAAGTTAATTGAATTCTAAGAGTATAAAAAAGTAAGTAGTCGTGGTGACAAGTCATCAAAAAATGCCTTACAATGACATTTTGAACCAAAAATCTTATTTCTGCCAAAGTATGCCTGCCATATCAATTTTTACAGGAATGTCCAATAAAAAGAAAGTAAATGGGGCCATTAAGACAAAAAATTTATTTCTATTTAAACGAAAATTTTTTCCACAAAAGATAAAAAAGGAATGTTTATTTATCAAAAGCAATGTTTTGTACAGATTTACGGTGTTCAGAAGCTCCGAATTAAAAGCTTTGGTTGTGTGTGACCACTAGAATGTAATTTGAATCAAGTTAGACTTTTTACCAGAAAAGATTTTAAATCTAAAAACAAAAAGGTTGCTTGTTAATTAGAAAACTCTTAATTCATTATTAAGATTTAGGCTAGAAAGTTCTCTTATGATAAGAATTGTCTTTCAATATATTTCCTGAGTCTGTAATAAGAGTTGGCAACAATATATATCATATATTGTAGTGTGAGACAAGGGAATTTGGTTTGTTTTTGCAGGTGTGTGCTTGCAAGTTAGACCCGGATTACTTTGTACAGACTGTTTTAGAAAGGTAAAGTAACTATGTACTTAGTATACAACTGCACATGTGCAGAACACAGAATAAATTTCTTTTCAGAATTATCTTGTTAAGAGACAGTAAGGTTTTGGTTTCCAATTATATGTGGTAAGGCAATGTTTGCTGATATATTTAAAAAAAAATTCCTTGCTTCGTTTGAGTAAAAAATAATTATTTATGTCATAGTTCCTACTAGGATTCAAACCCAGGACCTCTGGCTTGCTGGTCTTATACTAAATAAATTGAGCTAAAGAGAAGTTCTCCCTAGAGATTACTAGAGTTAAAGTTGTGAACCCCCTCCAGCAAAACACTATGAATGGCCACTTGGCCAGGTATATAACTGGCTTACCTTCCTTGGTTACATGAATATGACAATACTGCCTGTGGTTACATAATTATGACTAATTTACCTCCCTTGGTTACATGAACATAACAAGAATACCCCTTGTGATTACATGTATATAACTGGGTTGTCCCTCTAGGTTACCTGTATATAACAAGAATTATTCTTGTGGGTGCATGTTTATAAATGAGTTACCTCCCTTGGTCACAGCCTGTTTGTCATTTTGTACAGGTATCATGTGACTGACTGGCTGTCCTACTCCATTCACCCTAACACAGATCCAAGCTTTAAACTGGAGCCAGAGCAACAACTGGCCATGGTTGATGCAGCACTGTCATACTTAGTTACTCTGTTAGGGGTGAGGACTTATCTAGGTAAGTTCACTCATGTTTGTTTCATCTGCAATTGTAAAATCAGTATTGGTGAATATATTAGTCCAAATCAGACACAAAATATTATTTACAAAATTTCTCTGTCAAAATTTAAAAAAAATTGTGTTTGAAATAATTGAATACTATGATCAAACTTCAATTGTTTGTGACCTTCAAATGATAATTATTCCCCTTGAATATTAAAATATGCGTTCACAAAAGTTCAAGGTGCACAAGACATTGAGAACAGCTCTGTTCAACAGTATACCTGAAAGTGAATATGATAGTAATAATTATACCACACTGAAAAAATGCCTGTCATACACACACAGAGATTACATTGAGTGGGTGGTGTTACAGGTATAGTTGAGAAGGACCTGGTCAGACTTGAGATGTCTACCCTGCTATGTGTTAGTGATCGACAGCACAGTCAACTGAGCGATCTGATGCCAGAGAAGTCAGGAATGATAGGTCACGGAACTGAACTCTTTGAGCCAATTTTGAAAGAGGTGATTTATTATTGTTATATATAAATGGTGTGTTCTTATTTTCCATCACCTACTGTACTGTCTAAATCTTTAATGTCAAGCAATTTTATCATCTGAGTCTCTTTCTAATACCAAAAATTAAGTTCAAATATCAGGGCAGCATTAGTTATGGTATTACAAAAAATATTCTTTCATATCTGACCTGGATATCTTGCAACAATGTCTTGGCAGAAAGTTGTGTTTGATTATTTGCTTTGTCATTAAATAAAGGTATTGTAAAAGTCTCATTCAATGAAATCAATGATATGTAAAGTAATTATATTCTTTTAATGACCCCATAGTGATTACATTTTTTTACAATTTTTGTTAATATGTGTTTTAAATGTCAATGATGAAATCTTTTGTTTTTAATTGTAAAAAAAAGCTGGCAGATTACAAAGCCCCAAACTTTGAGGCAGGGGCTGGATTACAACAGGGAACTTATGTGCCTAAAGGTTTGTAGTCAAATATCAAGAAATTTAACAACTTTTCATATTACAGAATTTCATAGATTTTCATTCTGATTTCTTAAATTGTGTGAAGAGAATTTGTGTGTATCAATTATATGCAAGGGATAAAAATTGAATTCCTAAACATTACAATTTAACATAATTATCTTAATTTTAACTTCATGATTATGAAAATATAAGAAATTTGAACCTCAGATTTATATTTACTCCATAAACACCATTCTACACTCGATCATTGACAGATTCTGTTGTCTCGAAGCAAGGGCATTCATGTCTTATAGACATTCCCTAGTCTCATATGTTTTATCTCAGTGTTAACAAATTGTGGTAATATGTATGTCTTCACAAAGGATTAAAGTTCAATTTTCAAATTGAAACAATTCATTTGTGTGTTTTTTTGTTTGTTAATTATCATACTGTAATTGAAATATGCCTGTGTTGCAGATTTTATTTGGGAGAAGGAATTTGATCCCGTCCATGTAGCCTTGAGAGCTGTGTACAAAAAAGACTTCCAGTCTTCCATGGACAGATACAGCGCATTGTAAGTACAGGAAAACCTTTAATCACCTTTTAAAATATTATCTAAGTGAATTATAATATAATATAATAAACATGACTGTCTGCCTTGTTGGGCAAGCAGATAAGAAGTACACAAGGAAAAGTTCTGTTAAAGTCACTTTTCTCATTGCTCTCACCAGCCAAAACAAATAACATTCAAGTAATGTTTTTTTAATTGTTAAATACATAAAACATTGTATCCAGATTATGTCACAATGAACTTAAGGGCACACACAAATTCTATCATTATTCTTTTGTTGTGTCATATGACAGGATATCTATAAGTTTTAATACCTTTCATTGATAACTTTAAATAATTCCTTGAAGTGTATTTTGTATGCATTAGAAATATTAGCTTATCTTCAAAACAGACTTTATGAATTAAATACACTAGAACCAATTAATCTAAGTTTGAGTTTGTTTGTGATTGAAGTTTCTGGTTTTGATGTCGTTAATATAAAATGAATTTGAAATAACCTTTTGACTGAAAAGACAATTTATTTGCAGTGTTCGACAGAATGGGAAGTATTCTGGGAAGACACCACCTTGGCCTCCATTCAAACCTCCAGGGGACATTAATCCAGCTTATAAAGACATGTTTAAGATTCTTCACTGTAGAACTCTGCACGCCTTCCTTTTTACTGTTTTACACAAGGTAAACATGTGACATAAATGTATCCGAAATAAATAATGGGGTTTCATTTTTATTGAAGAATACTGTCTATATAGGAATGGAAATTGTCTCCTTGTTAATTACGGTACTGTTTTCGCTAGCTCATTTATAGAACATCTTCATAAAACAGACTTTACAGATGTTTGTATCATCGGTGTAAAATGAAATACTAAACATACAAACTACGTGATCTGAAATTTGATTAACACCCAGTTATTTGACAATGAGATGTTGATAACCTTGATTTTGCAGGCACTGACTCGTAACACAGTACCTGAAAGCTGCCTGTACCATTGTATTCACCTGTTAAACCTTGCACTCACTATACCTTGTACAGACAGCAGAAGAAGGGTAGGTTGGATTACAGTATGCCTGTAATTTTAAGGATGTACTCCTCTGAAAGTTGATCCCATATTAAACCTTTGCTCTGATGATGAACTTTGAAATAATAGATTTAAGAAGTAATTTTAAAAGCAATATGTTGCAGCATTTCTGTTTTGGATAAAGGTGTCTGAATATGTGTAATAAGAATAATTCATTTTCAAATATTACTGTTAATCTTTACTGGAATTATTTTTTTCAGTTTTTTTGCAGCAACTTTTTTTCAAAGTAAATTTTTCTTCTTTCTGCAAAAAGTATTGGTATGATACTTGGAAATAAAAAAAAATAATGTGAAAATGCTAAGTTTTCATTTCGTTTTACTAGGTTGCATAGCAATAAAAAATTTTCAAAAGTTGAAAATAAGATGTTTGACATGACCATCTATTAACAATTTTTTAGAAATCTAGTATGCCATCATATTGTCTTATATTTATTTTGAAAGAAAAGAAAAATTCTGATTCAAATAATATTGGACTAAATGAGTGGGACTTTTCCTGTGATTCTAGTTCTTCCTCCTTTCTTGCAAATTCAATGAAACTTGATTGATAAATGTAGTGGTTTATTCATAAATTTTCCTGACAATAGATGGAAAGCATTCAACTGGAGTTCAAAACTAGTTTTACTTCTAAATAACTTTTTCTGTGTTTCAGTCAAAAACATTCCGAGGCTGTGCCCCTAATGGTGACTATAAGGACTGGTTTTCCTCAACCAGTCTACTACAAAACGCTTGTGATATTATAAAGGAAATACATGTCTCAGTCCTCAGCTTAGAACCTGGCGATAACTTCACCTTTCCTGCTGATGTTGACCTTGTAAACTCTAGTCTGGAGGAGATGTTTCAGATGGCTCCCAGCTCCATAATGAGTGAGGAATCAGACATATTGTGCTTAGTCATATAGCAGGTCCTGAACTGCTTTAAAAATTGGAAATGCCTGACTGTAATCTTTATTATACAATTATAACCAATACTCAGGGGGAGGATGGTGGGGGGAGGCTATAATCCAACAGATTTAACAGATATATAAGAAAAAGATGACATATCATGATGTAATTCTTATAATGGCTTTTTTGGGGTTTTTTTTCCATCATCAGAAATCTTCTCCTTGGAACTAATTTATAAACATTGGTTAATTCCCCTGATTTAAATATATTGATTTCTTTTTCGATAAGTGGTGACATGAAATTTCACCAGAAGTGTTAGTACTACACGTTTTGATGCTGGTTCAGATTTTCTTTTGTTTATTTTGAATTACTATGAACTTTGTATTTAAAACAAATAATCTCTACTAGCTTGTGCATTTCTTATAAAGCTTTCGTCCCACTTACAAATATAAGGGGTTGTTACAAAGTTCCCATTGACTGTATCTTCATATCATGTTAAACATTCCATTATTGGCATGTGGTCAGATTTCGTGTCAACAGGATTTTAATGTATTTAAAATTATCATATTCAAGAAAATGAGAGAGGATTTGGCTTTGACCAGATAATCACATCAAGTTTAATTGGGTTTTCCTGAAATAAATCTTGAGATAAAGCAAAAAGCCTCAATTTTTCTTTTGTTTTTACAGGTTCTGGGGGCCCTATAACTGCGGCTCACTCTGGCCATATTCCGAGCCATCCTACAGTAGTTCCCATGCCAGGTGAGGGAACCTTCCCAGTGATCCACTCTATGTCTAGTCACTCTGGTGCCAAAACAACAGATAAACCAAAATATGAAAGTAAAGGCGTATCCACGGAGACAGCTCCACCCATTACAATTCCGGTAAATGAGAGCTTGATTTCCCTGTTAATGAAACTGCATTGTAAACTATCAGGAAAGGCTGGTTCGTATGTACCTCTGTCAATGTGTAATAGACTTCCATCAGTGTCCCGAATCGGGGATGGCTCACACTTCATCACATGTTTATTAGACAAAATGTCACAACAAAGTTCTCAATGTGCCAAATTGATTGAGGAGACCTACCAACAGCTAGTCCCAAAATCTGAGGAGGACGGTAAACAGAAATCTGGCAAGAAAGATGACAGGTAAGTGTTAACTGTAATCAGGTGGCTACACTGAGCCTTTAAATGATAGGTCAGTTGGCAGTAATTATCCTTTTTCTGCCCCTGCCGTTTCATATTCAGGGCCATCTGTAAAATCTGCCTCAACCATCCTTCCATCATTATCTCTGGCTCACTTGTTAATTGTACTTCACTATGTAGTCATCTATTTTACTTTTCCATGGCTGTGGGCAATTAACGTTCAGAATTTTAATTGATTTTTGCAAGAACAGTTGGAACAAAATTTTAGAGCCCTGCCAAACTCCATAAGGAATTTGAAAACACCTTAAAAAGTCAAGAAAAATTAAAATACCCTTGAATCTGGTGGGGTCATTCATGTTACTCAGATATATCTAATTCATGACAGCATTTGCTGTTTGTGGTTTTGTGGACTTAATTTAGCCAATAGAAAAAGATATTGATACAAACTGATCCGTAGAACGGAATAATGTTATTTTCCAAACATTAGTTGTCCAATCACTGTAATTGTAAGTTGAAAATTTGCAAGTTAATTTTGTCATATTTCAACAAATTAGAGGTCACTCATGCTTCTATAGTCTGCCATTTGTAAGGAATTCATCAAAATTCCCATCTGCCAAAAATTGTAACGATTGAATGATGATGTGTAAGCAATGGCATTTTAGCATGCATTGAACAAAACTCTGTGTTTGAAGAATTTGACTTGTGTGTGGACATGTGATTAAGGGTGAACATGACATGTTTTAGGAAAAAGAAAGCCAAAGAACGACAGGAGAAGTTGATGGCACAGTTTGCTTCGAAACAGAAAGCTTTCATGGAACAAAATTTTGATACTGACTCATTAGGTAAACAATTATTGAGACAATAAATTCGATACAGATCCAGAGGTTAGATGAATAGCTTTGGACTTCAGTATTCAGAATAATAGCAAAACTTATTTCACTGTATGTGGATCACTCTATTCAGTGATATACCTTGTACATGTGTATAAACTGCAGAAAAGATCTCATGTACTTATATTTGTACTTGGGCCTTATTACATTATTCCAGACGGGTCAAACCTTTCTGAATTAGAAAATTTTTTTCCTTGTCTTTTCTTTTTACTTTTCTTATCAATATTTTAACACTTGAGGATAATTTAAACATTTGAAAATAAGTTTCTCTTGACCAAAACAGTTATAATTCAGCAAGACTGGATGTATTATCTGTTAACAGTAATGTCAAAATTGCTACTCCAGAATAATAAAATACTTTAAAAATTTGATCACTATGTTGCAATTTCACGTTATCATAAAACAATTTCTCATTATTCCTTGGTCAGATGACAGTAGCAGTACAACATCAGAGAAAGCTGACACTAAACAAGTCCTGGAAGAAAAGGAGTTTGACTGTGTCATATGTGGCCATAGCTCACCTTCCACTGCAGACAAACCCATTGGTCTGGTGGTCTTAATCCAGGCATCCAGTGGTCAGTTATTATAGGGCTGGCAATCAGTCTTCTTTCCCTTATGATATATGCTTCCTAGCTTTAACTTTAAAATGCCTCCTTCCGCAAGAAATGTGTAGAATATTTTTGATATTTTTGAGAATGGTGTAATTTTGAGTTGCGAAAAATTACCAAATACTGGTTAGATAAAATTGCTGGCTTCACATATAACTGTGTATGCAGTTAAATGTTATTTCTGTAATTTAAATTGTTAATAAAATCTTTAAAAAGGTGTTTTCATTAAAATGAATTCAAATTTTTGTAGCCTAGAATAAATGACATATATTAGGTTGGGTATTTTTTTAGAGTTAATTGTTGGAGACACATTTTTCTGACCCGGATTAATCTGATGATATCTCAGGACTACCTGTCAGGCTACAAGTATTTATTTTCAGACTCAATCATATGTACGTCATTTTTTAATCCTGAATTATTTTTTTGATGATATATTATCTTATATGTCTGTTGATTAGTGCTGGGCCATAGACTACAGACGGAAGACCCCATCAAACTTCCTGTGGAGGGAGAAAAGCTAAATACAACACCTATATCTTGTGAATTGGCACAGAAAAGACAGCTCAAGTCTCTGTTTGAACACTTTGAAGAGGTGGGTAACTTTCTTAATAGGGAGTAGGTTTTATAATTTCTTTATAGGTTGGAAATAAGAAATAGAAATTTAGCAGTTTTCCTGTGACAATATTTACATGCCCTTTTCGATCTTTTTGAATTAAGTTTCAATACAACAAACATGATATAGGTTGTTAAACAAATATTTATTAACAAGATTTCTTAAATATCGCTTTGAAAAAATTATGTATCACAATTCCAAGCATTGAAATTATGTATTGTAATTTTTAAATTGATTCTACAACAATTATATTTTCTACAGAAAAATTGTACTAGGTGATGATTTTATTCTTTGATTTACTGTTGTATACTATTAAATACTGATCAAACTGTTAGTGGCAGCCTTAGTATAGTGAAACTGTTTAATTTTCAGACTTCCTGTCAGATGTCTGTCAACATTGGCTGGGAAGGAGGTGTGGTGGTGCAAACATGTGGTCACTATCTTCACCTAGATTGTCATAGTTCCTATGTTGCATCTTTAACGGTCAGTGATGTTGTACATTTCTAAAATAATTTGTCTGTTTTGTGTTCTGATACAGCCAAGCTGTTGGATGAAAATGATGAAAATTCTTTTTTTTTTTCCTTTCAATTCAAAATTTTTTTTAAGTATTAACTATTCTTGAAACAAAAAAAATATGATATGTCATCAGTTGATAATTGCAATATTGATTAATTGTTTGACGGTTTTGTTATCATTTAATTTTTATGTTCTTTTTTGTTCTGTAGACCCAGGAAGTAAACCAGAATCTTCTGGTTAGCAAGGGAGAGTACTGGTGTCCACTCTGCCGTCAGCTGTCTAACTCATTCATCCCCATCATCCCAGAAGAGAGCAAGTACACACTGGTGAAGCCGGTCAGTCCTGTCCTAACTCAGATGATCAAGGACATCGCAGAGATGATGATACGACGACCTATTACACCGGTCAGTATAAACTGACCACAGAAAGCATTGTAGATGAATTTTATACATATTTGCTTCTGCTTATATTGTTTGGATACCATTGTATGTTTTCTCAAATTCTTTATATGTTTAGAATATATTTGTCTGACAGAGGGTTGATCGTAACTGCTTCAGTTACTTAATTTACCAACAGCATCATTAGTGTCCAGAATTTACCAAATAGTATGGAGAAACTTATTTGTATAAGAAATGTGACTTTAAGAAAGTTAAACAGAGTAGGTTATCATAGGCTAAGAATGTCTACACTATTATATTCCTTACAACCTTTCATGATTATTGATATTTACACAAAGTGTACGATATATTGTCACTGATAAATAAAATAGAGGAATCTTCATGAGTGTCTAAATCTATTTGAGATAAGCATGATGAAACCCATTGCTTCTACTTAAAACAACAATTTACTCCTTCTTATAGCGGTCATCTACGCTAACCAAAGCTATGGGCAGTGTGATGGAGGACCTCACCAATGTGACATACAGCGTCTACAAAACCTACACCACATCACAGTCATCAGAGAGTGTCCTTCTCTTTGTCTGCTCTGTAGCTAGGTAAAAGGAACTTAATATCTTTGTGTGCTCTGCCTACAGGTAACATCTTTCTAAGTGTACAGAAACATGCTATCATTGTGTGCTCTGTCGCCTGGTAATGTCTTCTTGAGTGTACAGAAACATGTTATTTAGAGTCATTCATTAGTTGAAAACTACTTTAAAATCAATCATATAAAATATGTGTTGCATGTTGTATTTTAACAGTTGATGTATTATTTCTGTATGATTCTTTGAATTAAATTCTTTTGCTCATGATGAATATATGAAAAGGTCTTTGAAAAGTATCTTGGTGTAAAATGGGTGTATTTATAAGACCAGTTTTGTTTTCTCAACTTTAGGATTACTTTCTTATGGTTAATCAAGTTTGACTGCAGCATGCATATTTAATTTGATATAAAGACAGCTAACGTATAAAAGGTGAAAATCCTATTAAAATTCTTTGTAAAATATCAATAATTTTGATACTTCAGGTCTAATTTGGAGATAGAGCTATTACAGAGAGGTGGAGAACTATGTCCAGCTACATCACTTGGTCGGAAGCAAAGCTTCTGTAAGTAATGATCATTAAAAAAATCAATAGATTTAAAGTGTCAAAAGTATTCAAGCAAGGATGTATATTCCTTTTTTGATAGATCTTTTGACCTTATATATATTACTACAAATTTACATTTAGCATTACCGGCAATCATATTTTAGCATTAATCTTATTTCAGTGTTAATCATATTTTAGCATTGATATTAATTTAGCATTAATCTTATTTCAGTGTTAATCATATTTTAGCATTGATCTTAATTTAGCATTTATCTTAGTTTAGCGCTTTTTGGGCAAAAAATATTGAGCTAAAATATGATTGTGCTAATTTCAGTTTGGGTATGTTTATATATCAATTATTGTGGATGTAGGAATTCATCATTTGGCTGCTATTTCGTTGAACCAAGTGAAGTATGTTTACACTATTAGTATCACTTATAATAATTTTATTTGGTTTGATTATTATGAGCCCATATGTCAGGGTCTTGTTCCAAAGGTTTGAAGACATCTTTTTCAGATTCTGTTCATCAGAAATTCAGTTGCCTGGAGGAGGAACAATACCGGGTATATTATGTCTTTACCATTTTAGGGGGAGAGGTGAAAATATAGTGTTACACATCTCCATCTTGTCATTTCATACCTTATCTTGTGATTCAGTCTCTTCACTGTTTTTGTGAATGGCAGGAATGAAAATACCTTAGATGAATCAATTTTCCTGCATTCTAATTAAAAGCCAAAACCAGCATTTTATTGTAGTATATAGGAGCTTTTATGCCTGAAAGATGTTAACCTTTTTTTTCTATTTATATCTTTAACAGTGCCTCTGACCCATGTTCTAAGCATGCACAGTAAAATACTGACCACCAAACCCTATACTGACCTGTGGTCACACATTACAGGGGTCAGTTGTGGTGAAGAGTCCAGCAGGTAGGTTACATCATATTTTGAAAAATTTGAAATATGCCAACATTTATATGTCACATGACAATTATATGGTATCTTGATACAAATACATTGTATACTCTGGAGTTCTTTTTGAGACCACCACTGTTGTGACTGTTAGTGTAAAGATTCAGTGCTTGGTTAAGATGGAAAATTAATGAGAAATTCTGTACAACGTGGAGGTGTAGGGCGAGGGGGGGGGGGGGGCTATATTATAATGAAAGATGAAAAACAGATATTTTCTGATTGAAATTACAATCAATAATGAAAACCATATGGTCCGTTTTTACATCTTCCATGAAAAAATAGCTTTCATTTTGCTTCAGCTTTTGGTAAAACATGCAGATTGGAACCATTGAAGATAACAACTTTTTTCAGTGCATTCTATGTTTATGCTCAAGATACTATCAATTTGGTTCTTGGTGGAATTTTCAGCCACCAATTCATGACTGCATAATGACAATACTGCTAAATCCAGTGTAAACCCTTGACAACATTATCAATTTCAAATGCAAACCTTTGATAGTATTGTTAATTCTGTTGTAAATTCCTGACAATGTTTTTAATCTAAATGTAAACCCTTGACAGCAATGTTAATCCCAATGTAACCCTTGACAACAGTGTCAAATCAAATTCAATAATTTTCCATTACTGTTTGCTAATTGGTCCACAGTTTCATTGATACCTACTGTCAAATTTAAGACTCGGTAACCCTTTTTTTGTAGTGTACGACCCTACAATAAGGAAGTTCCAGTGCTGCTGAAGGATCCATCCTCACTCCTCATACAACTAATCCTTACTCTGCCTGCCACAATAGAGAAAGGTGGGTGTAGCATCTACTTATAAATATTGGTAGTTTTCAACTTGACAATCATCGGTGGGCATACTCAGATATCCAGTGTAAAAAGACCTTTTATTAATTTTAACATTTAACTTTAAATCAATTTACAAAACATGTATAGGCCAGAAAAGATGGATTCTGTGTACATGTGTTACAAGGAAAAGAAACAAACAGTAAACGAAGGAGGCTGACAATTGAGGTGTTGGATATAGGGATGCTATGGATAGAAATGTGGGTTAGAGGGAAGCTGGCAATTGATATGTGAGTTGGAGGGAGGTTGGCAATTGAGGTGTAATTTGGAAAGAAGCTGACAATTAAGGTGTGAGATGGAGGGATGCTATGGATAGAAATGTGGGTCAGAGGGAAGCAGCTGGTAATTGATGTGAGTCAGAGAATGGTTGACAATTAAGGTGTGGGTTGGAATGAAGCAGATTAAGGCGATATGGGTCAGAGAGAAGCTAGCAATTGATATGTGGGTTAGAGGGAAGCTGGAAATTGATATGTGAGTCAGAGGGAAGTTGATAATTGAGATGTGGGTTAGAGCGAAGCTGGAAATTGGTGTTTCCGGTAAGGGGGAACTGACAATTCCATGATAATGTAAATTAAGATAGATGATTATTGTTACATACATCTTTAGAAATTTTGACCTAAACACAGTGAACATCTATTATTTAAGATGTTGATGTTCATTTGTGCAGAACATTACTGTTTGCTGACAAAGATGTTGTACAACGTGGTATTCATACAAGCCCTTGCATGTACCAGCTGTAAGTTCACTATGGATGAGCGAGAGGCTTGGAGAAAGAAAGGTCGCAAGGTAAGTCAGTAGGGATAGAATTTACAATACATTTCAAATCTAATCTTGAGAAAGAGATAAGGTAGCTTTATCTTAAATGTCAAATATGTATGCAACAGAGTGTAAATAATGACATCCAAATAAAATTCAAACATGAGAAAATTTTGTTTTACATTATATTATTAGGTAAATATTGGTAAGACAATGAATGTATGTACAAAGTATATTTTGCATTCATAGAATACAATAAATTCATGATAAGTCTTTTTAACACAAATAATCAAAGTAACACCTGGTCCTGATCAGTGAAGTACACAGGAATACCTTTCTTAAAAACAATTTAAAAGTTTAAATAGGGTAGATGAGTGAAAGAAATGAAATAGATAGATGATGGAAACTGTAATGTATCGATAATATGCTTGATCAACTATAGGGGTTAATGGGTTAGTCTCTCTGATAATTGTATACATGTTGCTTAGCATATATGAAGGCATGCTTCATGTCTGTGTTGTTTATTAAATGTCCATGGCACAGAACAGGATTCTTCAGTAGGTTAACTTCAAAGCAACTTCCTCTTTTTTTTCTAAAATATGGTAACCTGTTATTTCTATCTTTTTATATATACATCATGCTCTTAAATAAACCTTATGATTGTTTTTTTCATCAAAGGTTAGAGAAATGATAAAAATCAACCACTTTGCTACTTTGAATTTTACCAGGTATCATTTGACAGTCTGGAGGGGATGCTAAGTCATGTAATCACAAGGTTAGAGGTCAGCCGGCTGTATGAAGATGTTGATATGCAGGATATCGGAATACCAGCTGTAAGTACAGAATTTTCAGCATGTACTGTAAAATGTTATCTTCAAATGTACTAATATAATGACCCCCTTTGTACTAATATAATGACCTCCTTTGTATGTTAGGTAGCTGAAATAAAGAAATTTAGAGGTTGGTCACACCGTCAAATGTTATGGTGTTCCATACAGCTCAGAATATTTTACAATGTTCTTATATCTTTTCAAATCCATCAGATGTTTAAAGATTGATAAAACATACTGAGTTATGGAGAGAGTGGACCTCCTTATCTATATTTTGGTATGTACTTTAGCAAATTTTGACCAAAGATTTGAAAACTGCATTAATACAGGTTAAATTATGCTGCAGATAAATCTCTGTTAAGAATCTTATTATGAAAGATACTTGAACTCCCTGAAGATTTTGATTTGTAAGTCATCCCTCTGCTATGTGAAAGACATTAAAATTAAAAATGAAATCAATGTTTAAATTCCATTACAGATTTGTCAAAGTGTATGGTCTCCTCACTGTGTAGACATGGCTGTACAAGATTTCTGTCTCCCGTTTCTAAAGATAGCAGCACTTGTTAGACATCATATGTTTGAGCTGGAGTTCCCGGAGAAGACGGTAAGATGACAAGTTGTTATAGAAACTCAGTATAATGTTCTGGTTTAAATGGTATAGTTACCTTTATGTATTGATGTGTTATTCTTAATTTGAAAATTCATTTTTTCATGTCCCTTCAATTTAAGAGGTTTTGTTCTTATCAAACCGATGGTATTAAAACATCAAGTTCTACCCCAAGTGCTCATAGGTCAAGGTTGAATTGTCAAAACTTCTGAAAGTTCTTCATACTAAATATGCATGGGAGAATATGAAAATATTTTCTAGTCTATCGGTTACTCTTTTAAGTATGAATAGTTCTGAAATTCAAGTGTTATAAGCCTGATAAGTTTCTTCTAAACAGTGAGTGCTCACAACTTCTGGAAATATGAGGGTTACGTACCTGACTAGTTTCTCTTCAGCCATAAGCACTCACAACTCCTGGAATTTGAGGGTTACGTACCTGACAGGTTTCCCATCAGTCATAAGCACTCTCATCTCCTAAAAATTGAGGGTCACATACCTGACAAATTTCTCTTCAGTCATAAATTGCTCACAACTTCTGGAAATTTCAAGGATGTCTTAATTTTTTCTTTCTGTAGCCAAATGTAACAGAGTTCCAGGAGACTTGTCAGTTCCTAGGCCTCAACAAGATTGGCACTACAATCACACCACCAGGTATGGTGACTAGTTCATCCATTGTTCATTGGCTGGTTCCTGAACCATTAACTCTGGTGAGGGCGTGGTGTACAGACCTGACAAACTTCATCAACAGTCACCCTAGTGATGCCAAGGTAAATCTGGACTTCAGATCTCTGATAGAATATATATAGTGTTACCCTTTCTGTTGGAATAGTGTAAAATTGATGCAAGCTTTCAATGGTCATTAGACTACAACATAATTCAAGTTGTATATGTATTCTAATGTTTTCTTTTTAAATTTGCCATCAATAGGCGAGTTAAATGCTTTTCCCAGATTTATACAGTAACTGTTCTTTCTTTTGATGTCATTACTTTCCATTATATCAGTGTTTTATTGTTCCTTTTTGTGACCTTTTCAAAATATACTGAAGGTATACTTGTACTGATGTGTATATTATTTATTGATTTCATTGGAATAGTTGGCAAAGTATTATAGCTTTAATGTACAATTTTCCCAGAGCTTGTTGTTGAGGAATCCAACCTGGTACCCACCACAGCTGATAGCTCTCCCACACCACTACTACAAGATCTTCCAAGCCTACAATAATGCCACCTGCTCTATGTGTACCAATGTACCCAAGGACCCAGCCATCTGTATGGTCTGTGGACGCTTCTTGTGTTTCCGTCAAATATGCTGCCAACAGCAGCGCATCTACGAATGTGTTAGAGTAAGTACAGTGGTATCTATGGGTGTGTTAGTGTAAGTACAGTGGTATCTATTCAGTGTTAAAGTAAGTACAGTGGTATCTATGGGTGTTTTAGAGTAAGTACAGTGGTATCTATGTCAGTGTTAGAGTAAGTACTGTGGTATCTATGTCAGTGTTAGAGTAAGTACAGTGGTATCTATGGGTGTGTTAGAGTAAGTACAGTGGTATCTATGTCAGTGTTAGAGTAAGTACAGTGGTATCTAGGTCAGTGTTAGAGTGAGTACAGTGGTATCTATGTCAGTGTTAGAGTAAGTACAGTGGTATCTGTGGGTGTGTTAGAGTAAGTACAGTGGTATCTATGTCAGTATTAGAGTAAGTACAGTGGTATCTGTGGGTGTGTTAGAGTAAGTACAGTGGTATCTATGTCAGTGTAAGAATAAGTACAGTGGTATCTATGTCAGTGTTAGAGTGAGTACAGTGGTATCTATGGGTGTGTTAGAGTAAGTACAGTGGTATCTATGGGTGTGTTAGAGTAAGTACATTGGTATCTATGGGTGTGTTAGAGTAAGTACAGTGGTATCTATGTCAGTGTTAGAGTAAGTACAGTGGTATCTAGGTCAGTGTTAGAGTAAGTACAGTGGTATCTATGTCAGTGTTAGAGTAAGTACAGTGGTATCTATGTGTGTTAGAGTATACAGTGGTATCTATGTGTGTTAGAGTAAGTACAGTGGTATCTATGGGTGTGTTAGAGTAAGTACAGTGGTATCTATGTCAGTGTTAGTACAGTGGTATCTATGTAGAGTACAGTGGTATCTATGTCAGTGTTAGAGTAAGTACAGTGGTATCTATGTCAGTGTTAGAGTAAGTACAGTGGTATCTATGTCAGTGTTAGAGTAAGTACAGTGGTATCTATGTCAGTGTTAGAGTAAGTACAGTGGTATCTATGTCAGTGTTAGAGTAAGTACAGTGGTATCTATGGGTGTGTTAGAGTAAGTACAGTGGTATCTATGTCAGTGTTAGAGTAAGTACAGTGGTATCTATGTCAGTGTTAGAGTAAGTACAGTGGTATCTATGTGTGTTAGAGTAAGTACAGTGGTATCTATGTCAGTGTTAGAGTAAGTACAGTGGTATCTATGTCAGTGTTAGAGTAAGTACAGTGGTATCTATGTCAGTGTTAGAGTAAGTACAGTGGTATCTAGGTCAGTGTTAGAGTAAGTACAGTGGTATCTATGTCAGTGTTAGAGTAAGTACAGTGGTATCTATGTCAGTGTTAGAGTAAGTACAGTGGTATCTATGTCAGTGTTAGAGTAAGTACAGTGGTATCTATGTCAGTGTTAGAGTAAGTACAGTGGTATCTATGTCAGTGTTAGAGTAAGTACAGTGGTATCTATGTCAGTGTTAGAGTAAGTACAGTGGTATCTATGTGTGTGTTAGAGTAAGTACAGTGGTATCTATGTCAGTGTTAGAGTAAGTACAGTGGTATCTATGTCAGTGTTAGAGTAAGTACAGTGGTATCTATGTCAGTGTTAGAGTAAGTACAGTGGTATCTATGTCAGTGTTAGAGTAAGTACAGTGGTATCTATGTCAGTGTTAGAGTAAGTACAGTGGTATCTATGTCAGTGTTAGAGTAAGTACAGTGGTATCTATGTCAGTGTTAGAGTAAGTACAGTGGTATCTATGTCAGTGTTAGAGTAAGTACAGTGGTATCTATGTCAGTGTTAGAGTAAGTACAGTGGTATCTATGTCAGTGTTAGAGTAAGTACAGTGGTATCTATGTCAGTGTTAGAGTAAGTACAGTGGTATCTAGTCAGTGTTAGAGTAAGTACAGTGGTCTTTCTATGTCAGTGTTAGAGTAAGTACAGTGGTATCTATGTCAGTGTTAGAGTAAGTACAGTGGTATCTATGTCAGTGTTAGAGTTAGAGTACAGTGGTATCTATGTCAGTGTTAGAGTAAGTACAGTGGTATCTATGTCAGTGTTAGAGTAAGTACAGTGGTATCTAGGTCAGTGTTAGAGTAAGTACAGTGGTATCTATGTCAGTGTTAGAGTAAGTACAGTGGTATCTATGGGTGTGTTAGAGTAAGTACAGTGGTATCTATGGGTGTGTTAGAGTAAGTACAGTGGTATCTATGGGTGTGTTAGAGTAAGTACAGTGGTATCTATGTCAGTGTTAGAGTAAGTACAGTGGTATCTATGGGTGTGTTAGAGTAAGTACAGTGGTATCTATGTCAGTGTGTTAGAGTAAGTACAGTGGTATCTATGTGTGTTAGAGTAAGTACAGTGGTATCTATGTCAGTGTTAGAGTAAGTACAGTGGTATCTATGTCAGTGTTAGAGTAAGTACAGTGGTATCTATGTGTGTTAGAGTAAGTACAGTGGTATCTATGTCAGTGTTAGAGTAAGTACAGTGGTATCTATGTCAGTGTTAGAGTAAGTACAGTGGTATCTATGGTCAGTGTTAGAGAGTAAGTACAGTGGTATCTATGTCAGTGTTAGAGTAAGTACAGTGGTATCTATGTCAGTATTAGAGTAAGTACAGTGGTATCTATGTCAGTGTTAGAGTAAGTACAGTGGTATCTATGTCAGTGTTAGAGTAAGTACAGTGGTATCTATGTCAGTATTAGAGTAAGTACAGTGGTATCTATGTCAGTGTTAGAGTGTTAGAGTAAGTACAGTGGTATCTATGTCAGTGTTAGAGTAAGTACAGTGGTATCTATGGGTGTGTTAGAGTGAGTACAGTGGTATCTATGTCAGTGTTAGAGTAAGTACAGTGGTATCTAGGTCAGTGTTAGAGTGAGTACAGTGGTATCTATGTCAGTGTTAGAGTGAGTACAGTGGTATCTAGGTCAGTGTTAGAGAAGTACAGTGGTATCTATGTCAGTGTTAGAGTAAGTACAGTGGTATCTATGTCAGTGTTAGAGTAAGTACAGTGGTATCTATGTCAGTGTTAGAGTAAGTACAGTGGTATCTATGTGTGTTAGAGTCAGTGGTATCTATGTCAGTGTTAGAGTAAGTACAGTGGTATCTATGTGTGTTAGAGTGTTAGAGTAAGTACAGTGGTATCTATGTGTGTTAGAGTAAGTACAGTGGTATCTATGTGTGTTAGAGTAAGTACAGTGGTATCTATGTCAGTGTTAGAGTAAGTACAGTGGTATCTATGTCAGTGTTAGAGTAAGTACAGTGGTATCTATGTCAGTGTGTGTTAGAGTAAGTACAGTGGTATCTATGTCAGTGTTAGAGTAAGTACAGTGGTATCTATGTCAGTGTTCTATGTCAGTAGAGTAAGTACAGTGGTATCTATGTCAGTATTAGAGTTACAGTGGTATCTATGTAAGTACAGTGGTATCTATGTCAGTATTAGAGTAAGTACAGTGGTATCTATGTCAGTGTTAGAGTAAGTACAGTGGTATCTATGTCAGTGTTAGAGTAAGTACAGTGGTATCTAGGTCAGTGTTAGAGTGAGTACAGTGGTATCTATGTCAGTGTTAGAGTGAGTACAGTGGTATCTAGGTCAGTGTTAGAGTAAGTACAGTGGTATCTATGTCAGTATTAGAGTAAGTACAGTGGTATCTATGTCAGTGTTAGAGTAAGTACAGTGGTATCTATGGGTGTGTTAGAGTAAGTACAGTGGTATCTATGTCAGTGTTAGAGTAAGTACAGTGGTATCTATGTCAGTGTTAGAGTAAGTACAGTGGTATCTATGGGTGTGTTAGAGTAAGTACAGTGGTATCTATGGGTGTGTTAGAGTGAGTACAGTGGTATCTATGTCAGTGTTAGAGTAAGTACAGTGGTATCTAGGTCAGTGTTAGAGTAAGTACAGTGGTATCTATGGGTGTGTTAGAGTAAGTACAGTGGTATCTATGGGTGTGTTAGAGTAAGTACAGTGGTATCTATGTCAGTGTTAGAGTAAGTACAGTGGTATCTATGGGTGTGTTAGAGTAAGTACAGTGGTATCTATGTCAGTGTTAGAGTAAGTACAGTGGTATCTATGTCAGTTTTAGAGTAAGTACAGTGGTATCTATGTCAGTGTTAGAGTAAGTACAGTGGTATCTATGGGTGTGTTAGAGTAAGTACAGTGGTATCTATGTCAGTGTTAGAGTAAGTACAGTGGTATCTATGTCAGTGTTAGAGTAAGTACAGTGGTATCTATGTCAGTGTTAGAGTAAGTACAGTGGTATCTATGTCAGTGTTAGAGTAAGTACAGTGGTATCTATGGGTGTGTTAGAGTAAGTACAGTGGTATCTATGGGTGTGTTAGAGTGAGTACAGTGGTATCTATGTCAGTGTTAGAGTAAGTACAGTGGTATCTATGGGTGTGTTAGAGTAAGTACAGTGGTATCTATGTCAGTGTTAGAGATGTCAGTGTTAGAGTAAGTACTGTGGTATCTATGTCAGTGTAAGAGTCCACAGACAATTGACATTGGTATTATTTGTGTGTCTGAACAGTGTTTACAGACATTTGACATGGATGTTATTTCTGTGTCTGAACAGTGTTTACAGGCATTTGACATGGATGTTATTTGTGTGTCTGAACAGTGTTTACAGACATTTGACATGGATGTTATTTGTTTTGTATGTACAGTGTCTGCAGGCATTTGACATGGATGTTATTTGTGTGTCTGAACAGTGTTTACAGACATTTGACATGGATGTTATTTGTTTGTCTGTATAGTGTCTGCAGGCATTTGACATGGATGTTATTTGTTTGTCTGTATAGTGTCTGCAGGCATTTGACATGGATGTTATTTGTGTGTCTGAACAGTATTTACAGACATTTGACATGGATGTTATTTGTTTGTCTGTATAGTGTCTGCAGGCATTTGACATGGATGTTATTTGTTTGTCTGTATAGTGTTTGCAGGCATTTGACATGGATGTTATTTGTTTTGTCAGTATAGTGTCTGCAGGCATTTGACATGGATGTTATTTGTTTTGTCAGTATAGTGTCTGCAGGCATTTGACATGGATGTTATTTGTTTGTCAGTATAGTGTCTGCAGGCATTTGACATGGATGTTATTTGTTTTGTCAGTATAGTGTCTGCAGGCATTTGACATGGATGTTATTTGTTTTGTCAGTATAGTGTCTGCAGGCATTTGACATGGATGTTATTTATTTGTCTGTATAGTGTCTGCAGGCATTTGACATGGATGTTATTTGTTTTGTCAGTATAGTGTCTGCAGGCATTTGACATGGATGTTATTTATTTGTCTGTATAGTGCCTGCAGGCATTTGACATGGATGTTATTTGTTTTGTCAGTATAGTGTCTGCAGGCATTTGACATGGATGTTATTTGTTCGTCTGTATAGTGTCTGCAGGCATTTGACATGGATGTTATTTGTTTTGTCAGTATAGTGTCTGCAGGCATTTGACATGGATGTTATTTGTTTGTCAGTATAGTGTCTGCAGGGATTTGACATGGATGTTATTTGTTTTGTCAGTATAGTGTCTGCAGGCATTTGACATGGATGTTATTTGTTTTGTCAGTATAGTGTCTGCAGGCATTTGACATGGATGTTATTTATTTGTCTGTATAGTGTCTGCAGGCATTTGACATGGATGTTATTTGTTTTGTCAGTATAGTGTCTGCAGGCATTTGACATGGATGTTATTTATTTGTCTGTATAGTGCCTGCAGGCATTTGACATGGATGTTATTTGTTTTGTCAGTATAGTGTCTGCAGGCATTTGACATGGATGTTATTTGTTTTGTCAGTATAGTGTCTGCAGGCATTTGACTTGGATGTTATTTGTTTTGTCAGTATAGTGTCTGCAGGCATTTGACATGGATGTTATTTATTTGTCTGTATAGTGTCTGCAGGCATTTGACATGGATGTTATTTGTTTTGTCAGTATAGTGTCTGCAGGCATTTGACATGGATGTTATTTGTTTGTCTGTATAGTGTCTGCAGGCATTTGACATGGATGTTATTTGTTTTGTCAGTATAGTGTCTGCAGGCATTTGACATGGATGTTATTTATTTGTCTGTATAGTGTCTGCAGGCATTTGACATGGATGTTATTTATTTGTCTGTATAGTGTCTGCAGGCATTTGACATGGATGTTATTTATTTGTCTGTAAAGCACATGTCCACAAAATTTGACATTGTGTTAATTGTTTGTTTCTACAGCATTCCATAGAGTGTGGTGCAGGGACAGCAATGTTTCTACTAGTCAACTCTAGTGTGGTGGTGGTGATTCGTGGACCAAGGGCCACACTTTGGGGATGTGTCTACCTTGATGAACATGGCGAGGAGGACAGAGACCTCAAGTGAGTTATACAAGGGAAGATAATTAGGATGAATCATAGCCTTTTTTTAAATATTTTAAACTTCATTGTTGTTTTATCTTTCTTAAAGCCAGCTATCACAAAATCAGGGAATATTATTTCATAATGGTTTCGGGTTTGTATTAAGGTCAAGTCAAAATGATTGGAATATAAAGTTTTCTTGATTTAACCTGAAGCTTTTGTCCTTTTTCTTGCATGGTTTAGACTATCCTATATGCATGATGTCTTTGTGTTGTAGACGAGGTAAGCCACTCTTCCTAAGCAAGGAAAGATACAACCTTTTACAACATCAGTGGATCTCACATAACTTTGACCATAGCTGTAAACGTTGGATCTGGCATCAGGATCGTCTGTAAGTTCCTGTTTAGGAATTATGAGATCCTGTAAGGAATTCCTGTGGCCACTGAAGATACAGCTTGACAAGTCACCTTGATCAGTATTCACCTGTAAAACCATGTAAGGAATTCTGTGAATGTGCAAGACATAGCTTGACGATTCCACCAGGATTGTCTGTAAACTCCAAGGTTTCTTGTATAGTGTTTGCTGTGATGGTAGATAGCATGACTCTGAGATTCTTTTTTTTATATGATAAGATGTAGCTTGATTTGTGCCTGTTAATACTTGTAATGAATGTCAATTGACTCTGTGATACCTATAAACCTACCTGTTGGATATCAACAGAACTGCTTAGTCCTAGACAGCACTAAGAGCTCTAAGTGAGTTTGAAATACAAGCATTATTGTACTGTTTTGTTACCACTAAGTTTTTGTTCTATCAGTAATCTTAAATCATGCAATATATGCACAGGAATCCACAATTGATGAAACCATTGATAACTGTGGCCTAGATGTTTATACCAGCACCAGATATCAATGGCAGTGAATTAAGGTATAAAACATGCCACTAAATAATATAGGAGTTATAGTAAAATATTCCAAAGCAAGTAGTCAAACCATTAGGATTAGATACAAAAATACATTTCCCTCCTTTACTGTGTTCATAGAAAGCACAAAAAACTTCTGTAATGCTATAAAATGTTGTATGATACCTAGGTGCCTATCAGGTACCCTCGGAGATTTGCAGAATCTTACAATATGCAGGTACCAATTAGTACCCCGGGTGATTTATAGAATCTAATATAACACCTGGGCACAGCTTATTTAAGTTAATATTATTTTTGAGAATGGAATAATATTGCCAAAATAACCACCTTAGGAATTAAGTTTAAAATAGAAAATCATGATAAGTTTGAAATCTTCAGTGAAAATTGCATCCACTTGGCTACAAGCTTTGATAAAATGGTTAAGATTACCTGTGAACTGTGATACAAGGTTAAAGGTCAACATGTTAGATATGGAATACATAATGTTATGTTTTTCTTCAATATGTCTGTTAGTGCCAATGCATTAGCTTGCTATATAGGAGGGTTTTGCCTGTTTGCTGGCTTTTGCACCTCCCAAAGATCCCTGGTCAAAATATGCTGTTTTTTTTCTTTATCTAGCAATAATCTTGGTCAGAGTCCAGCACATTGTTTCTTAATCAAGGTAAAGGGCTGGGCATATTACAGAACAATATTATTTTTCTGACTCCGAGTAAGGGGCTGGGCTTTTTACAGTTCAATATTATGTTTCAGACTCAGAGCAAGGGGCTGAGCTAGCTTAATACAAAATAGTTTCATAATTCTGACTCAGAGTAAGAGGCAGGTCTTAGTACAGTACAATATTATGTTTCTGACTCAGAATAAAAGGCTGAAAATATTGCAAAACAATAAAATGTTGAAATGGTGAAAGGGGCTAGAGGTTTGCTTATTATAGGGCAATGAAATGTTTCGAACTCAGAGCTTTTTAACAATAATTTAAAACTACACTGAATATATGTGGAAACTAAGGTGTATCAAATATTAATATGTGAATGAATGGGATATATCAGTAATTCTTCTAGCCCATCATAGCACAGTGTCGATCAATATGAGTGGAGATGTCAGTGTCAGCTGTGAGTAAGTATCCTCTTTGTTTAAGAAGGACGTACACCAACATTTTGACTAATTGTGTTATTCCTTGTTCAGTCAGTAAACAACCAGTTACACTCTAAATCAGTAACTGTTAGTAATACATGTGTTTTTAATGTCTCTTCATTTACTACAATACAAAATCTCTGACTATAAATTATGCAATAGTAATACATGTGTTTTTATTGTCACTTCATTTACTACAATACAGAATCTCTGACTATGAATTATGCAATACTTGAATGTCTTGACATCTGTCTTTTAGTCTTTTAGTTTCATGTCATTTCCTTTGTAATGTACTTTTTTCTTCACCATTTGGTGACCCTGATGACCTGTGTGTCGACGGGTCATTTAACAATACAATAATGGTAGCACAGATCATGACTTACTAGATATGGTTCTATATATAGGTCTGTATGATACAGCATACATTGTCAGCATCAGTCGGACATTTCTAGTGTAGTTCTGTGACGTATCAACTTTCTTCTGGTTGTGAATATCAAGACAGTAAAGGAGTTTTCGATAGATTTTCTTTAAGGAAACTTTTTTGTCTTTACTTTTTTCAATATTTTTTTTTTCAATTTGACAAGATTGTGCCATTTTCACAGCATTTTATTTAATGTCACATTATCAGTCTATAATCCAGTGGATTTGCCCATGTAATATTCCATATGTTTGCATATATCACTAGACTATACCATGAAGCATTTTTAATTGGCTGCCCCATAGGGATAATGATCGTAATACGTCACAAATGCATTATAAACATCATGAATAGAAATTGGTGCAACAAAATGGCTGTCACTGTTTGATTTCGTCCACAACATGTTGGATTTTAAAAAATAATGTAACTTTTCTTATTTTTGTGATAAAAAGGTATGTTAAATTTGTTTTCATTTAATTATATGAGTTTTTTTTTCTTGATAAGACTTGAAAAAGTAAAAACTTCTTAAGCAAGTTTATTTCATAATATCTCCAATGCAATAAAAACTCATTGATCCTACACGTCTATGTAACTGGTAAGTATGTAAAGTGTTTATTGTGAAATGCACCAGAGGATTTTAAATTCAAATTGTGAATCGTGATTTTTGGACATTGTTGTATGTTTTAGATAATCTTATATGTTTATTTCCAGTCCTCAAGCGAAGCTCCTTGTGTACTAACACTAAAACATTCCCCATATATTTAAAAAGAATTTGACGTCCTACTGCTAAACCAATGAAGCTAAAAAAACCAGATGAAAGAAGATGATACTACATAATACCCATTAAACTTACTGACGCTGTTCATAGACTTTTCATGTTGTAGTAATTTAAACACTTACACTAAGCTACATGATACTCTGTCATGAGTGTTCCATTTTGAGGTTGTGATTCTTTTTCAGGAGAATTTGTAAAACACATCTTTTGATTGAAAGTACAAAATACTGTTCATGCTTATGGTGTTAAGATGTATGCCATTGTGCCAGTTTAAAATCATCATAAGTGTATGAGTATATTACAATTACAGATTACCTAAGGTTCATTAAGCGTGTTTGTTTCCCCCCCCCCCCCCCCCCACCCCCCTTTTTTTTAAGTCTTTTTATAATTTTAAGCTCCTAACATCAACAGATAAACACTGTTTTGATTATGTCACACATATATGTCACTACCCAAACTTTGTACTTGGTGTCTGTTTCTAGTTTGTATGCCAGGTTATATTGTTTGATATGACATGAAGCATGTTCTGGTGACCAGAAAGCTGGATGTGTAAACACATTTGATAATTTTCTTAGTACTGAAAGGGTAACAAACTTTATATACCTGTGATTTGTGTATTCAGGATACATGTTACTTGTTAAAATGAGAGATTAATGTGACTATCTAGGCTATTTTCTCTAACTATGACATTGAGACTTCAGACTGGATGCAACCTGACTCTGACTTTGACACTTATGGTATGTATTACAAATACTCTTCTGACTTTGGGACTGGAGGATGCATGCTATGTGACTGTGACTTGGGGACTTCAGGATGCATGCTACCTGACTGTGACTTGGGGACTTAAGGATGCATGCTACCTGACTGTGACTTGGGGACATGAGGATGCATGCTACCTGACTGTGACTTGGGGACATGAGGATGCATGCTACCTGACTGTGACTTGGTGAGTTGAGGATGTATGCTACCTGACTGTGACTTGGTGAGTTTAGGATGCATGCTACCTGACTGTGACTTGGTGAGTTGAGGATGCATGCTACCTGACTGTAACTTGGGGACTGGAGGATGCATGCTACCTGACTGTGACTTGGGGACTTCAGGATGCATGCTTTGTGACTGTTACTTTGGAGTATGAGTGACTTAAAACCTTATAAGATTACCCCTTGATTTTCCCTAATGGAGAAATTGAGATTCAAGGAAAAAAAATTTGGTGAATGAATAGAAGAGTTGTATGACAAGAATACTTTTGAGTAGAATACAGTTTTTCTCATGGAAAATAAAAGGTACCATAATGTTGTCGGTTTTTTTTTCAATTTTTTCTAAGAAATTATGTTATTTCAGTTTATATAATTGTTTTGAAAGAATCACTATAAATTGTTGTCTTGTTTTCTTCCAATTATTTTTTTTTTTCAAACATGAACCATATACTAATAGACATGACCATTTTCCAGATCAAACATTATAATTTTTGTACTGTTAAGTGTTCATTTATATCCAATTGCATTGCCTTGATGTTGTTTTGGGTTTATTAAATGACTGTGGGCAACACATTGCTCAAACACATTAATTTGGTAATTTATACTTTATATAGCTAGAAACATTGAGATTAAATGTGATAGGAGTAACAATATGCATTTAGGGGAGTTTTATGACTTTATAGTAACAAATACTATTTGATTTATCAACATTATGGTAGATAACACTTTTGTTTTCACTGGCTCTTGATTGCTGATAAACTACATATAATTTTTATTAATAAATTACTCATCCATTGAAGCTTCATGTATATTTATTCTATGAACAATTTCGATGTAGCTCAACTTCCAATGTACTGTCAAGATCCTAGTTATTGTCTCAATGAGGCAGTGTGCAAATGTGTATGTTTGTGGGATCTAGGTTTCCTTAAAATTTTCCACGCCCTCATGACTGCAGTATTTATTTAGTTTTGTTTACCAATGCAATCTTCCTATAGATGTGTTATGACCAATACAGGTTCATGCTCCCCCCGCCCCCGCTTACAGTCTATCTTGTTGTACAATCAGACAATCTGAATACTGTGACAAGTAAGATATATATGTAATTGTAGGATTTCTTCTGGCATGTAATTTTCATGCAAATCCAGATCTTAAATTCTCTAATTCTAGCTGTATTTTGTTCTCAACTGCTCAGAATGGCTGTTTTGTTTTCATTTCTAACCTTTAAGATTTTTAGACTGTTCACTGTTTAAGTCAAACCCTAGAGAAATAGAATACAAGATAGGACCAGTGTAGTTGTTCAATGCAAACAAGATTTTACAGGTAATGATGTACATACAGATATAACAGTAAGTGCTGTTGACAAAAAATCACAATAACAAGATCAGTAAAAGATGAAACCTCAACATTGTTTACCATTCAAGTCTTTTTTGCTGGATATTTGATAGTTTATGATTTTGTTAGTTTCAGCTAGTTGCTTAGCAGCATATTTTAGCACATAGCAACACAAGAAAAAATTATTTTCTGTTGATCTGGTTGGTTATAAAGGATAACTGGGACTATAATAGATACTTACATTTAACAGTAAGACCAGTTTCTGGATAAACATTTGTGATAAATTGTCTAAACACACCTCCAAGAGGTCAGATTTTCCATATCCGTGATTGGTCATTGCAATATTGAGAAAAAAAAATAAAACTTTCCTTTACATCACAACACTTATATTTGACATAAGAATTAAAGGTAAACAAACATCTTATAAAGGGGTAAACAATTTTTGTTTTCATGTTGTATATTATGCAAGGCCTCGTTAATGTCAGACAGTACTAACTCTCTATATGTAATTGTTGCGGTGACTATTTTATTTATGTGATATTTCACCAGATGTTTGCTAGTGAGTGAGATAAAACTTGAAAGTATGCTAATACGTATGATGTTGCTCCATAAATGTTTTTGTTTGTGATTTAAAACGATTTTTCAAAGATCAGGAAATCATGATTTTCCCTTACACATTGCAAGTGATTGATTTTGAAGTTTGAATAGTAAGTTTTAAAGTAATTTTGACACACAATCACTGAACAGATTATTGTATAGACTCTATTACGTAAACTTTTTGTGTTTGACAGTTGAAACAGATCGGAAATCTCATTATGGAATTAATCTTACAGATGTGAAAATTATCTAAAGATATGATTTGTTTTATCATTAATTACAATAACACACCAGTGTATAATAAAGATGACCTGTTTTTGTTATTATAAAATATATCCCTTCTGTAGCAGGAGTTGTCGTTCCTTGCACTGATTCTGAAGTATAGATTGATTTTTCGAGTTATTTCCCTTGATATCTTAGCAGTTGAGAATCAATCATCCTTTGTGATTCGAAGCAATCACTTAAAATGACGTTTTCCTGCAATAGTTACATTATTAAAGCTATAGATAATTTCCCTGTTATATAGAATTGTTATGTGATGGTAAACATCGGATAATGAGGGAATGTTATTGTTTTGTTCTTGTTCAATTTGTTTGTGTGTGATTTATCTTATTTTACCAATACAAAAACTAGAAATATGAATATATTGTTTTCTTTTGATTTCAAACTGACACTAGATATCGGTGATAACATGCACCCCTGTACGGACAAATTGGTGAAACCACGAGAACATGAAGCGGAATAGCAACGTCATTAAAGGGCCCTGCGATATCTCTGCACTGTAATAAGGACGAGAATTATAGCTTCCACATTATAAACAAGATATACGATCGAGAAGAGGCACTGCTTTCTGTTAATCTGAAGTCTTGCTTGAACGTCTATGAATACTCCAAAGTCACATGTATAGGACTTACATATGATGTAAACGGCGAACCCTTCGGCCAATCACGAAAAACATCTATGACTTTTCAATTTTATATACCTATACACTATCGCCGACATCATTACAGACCTATTGTCAACTCGGATCAGAACTTTCCGTTTTCGTCGTCCTTAGTGAGGATAAGATGATCTCAATACGCCGGACGGTCGAATTATTGATGCAGTACCAATATTCCTGACAAAAGCCAGATATATATGGAAGCTTTAGCATTGTTTGATATATTGGTGTTGCTCTGGATACAGTAGTAATATCAAACATATCTAAACAAATTCGAAACTCGCCGAAAAGATTTTCATTATATTGCGCAGATCACAAAAGAAAGGCCCAAAGGATGTGGTTATAGAATAGGAGCTAAACGTGTCTCAAGTACTATATCACTTTGGTCAAAACAACGAAGAAATTCAAACTCAAATTCGATGAAACTAGGGCAAAATATGAACGAAGGGAAAATTTATATAGAAACTCCTGAATAAGTGAAAGAACAAGGCTAAATGCTAATAAAAAAAGCGTAATCTGGTTCATATTTCCAGTGTTAAGCAAAGCGCAGCAGAAATATTTTACAGTATACTGTTACGATCTTGTGTATTTTTTTTGGTCTCTAATCGGTTTGCCATCTCGTCACACTGAAGCTGACCATGCTGTCACCGAAACGTCACACTCTAATCTTCTGGTCGTGTTATAAGATGAAGGTGACAAAGCTGTCACCGAAACGTCACACTCTAATCTTCTTCTGGTCGTGTTATAAAATGAAGGTGACAATGCTGTCACCGAAACGTCACACTCTAATCTTCTTCTGGTCGTGTTATAAGATGAAGGCGACAATGCTGTCACCGAAACGTCACACTCTAATATTTTGGTCGTGTTATGATATAAAGGCGACCATGGTGTCACCGAAACGTCACACTCTAATCTTCTACTGGTCGTGTTATAAGATAAAGGCGACCATGCTGTCACCGAAACGTCACACTCTAATTTTCTACTAGTCGTGTTATGATATAAAGGCGACCATGCTGTCACCGAAACGTCACACTCTAATCTTCTACTAGTCGTGTTATGATATGAAGGCGACCATGCTGTCACCGAAACGTCACACTCTCATCTTTTACTGGTCGTGTTACGAAACGTCACTCTCTAATCTTCTGGTCGTGTTATAAGATGAAGGTGACTATGCTGTCACCGAAACGTCACACTCTAATCTTCTACTGGTCGTGTTATAAGATGAAGGCGACCATGCTGTCACCGAAACGTCACACTCTAATCTTCTACTGGTCGTGTTATGATATGAAGGCGACCATGCTGTCACCGAAACGTCACACTCTAATATTCTGCTAGTCGTGTTATGATATGAAGGCGACCATGCTGTCACCGAAACGTCACACTCTAATCTTCTACTGGTCGTGTTATAAGATGAAGGCGACTATCCTGTCACCGAAACGTCACACTCTAATTTTCTACTGGTCGTGTTATGATATGAAGGCGACCATGCTGTCAACGAAACGTCAC